TATCCTTAATCTCACAACCAAAATGCAAGCTTTCCAAACTGAAAGAAAGGTTCTAGTACAGTAAAGAAGCATAATGAACCTGCTGTAGGATTTTCCACATAAGCTTTAACCTCCACAATGTACAACTGCCTCTACAAGATTAAGTGTGCAGGGTCACTGGAAAGTTTAGCTAATGTGCAGTTAGCACTAATTAGCCACATAGAAACCCACAATGAAACAGACTTATACGCATCTTGTGATCCAATCAGGTAAATTGGACGGGACACCATCATCTGCTGCACTTGGGCCCATTTTCCCCGTGAGTGCTGAGATGAAGACAGCCTCCTGATGTGACACATCTGTGTCCTCACTGTCTCGCACTTTGTTTCTTGCTAAGGCAGTTTCCCAGTGTCCCTGACCCTAATAACCCAAATTCCTGCCTGATTAAGTTGGTTTTAAAAGGAAGCCACACAGAGAGCGGCTGGGTGAGCCTCACCTTAAATGGGAACACATTGTAGCCGTGTTGGAGCGATGATCAGAGGGTAGGATTTCACTTTCCGGTGTTTGTGAGGACAGCGGCGCTTAAAAGGCCGCAGAGAGGACAGAGGGAAAGAATGGAAAAGAAGAATGGAGAGGGATGAAGATGAATAAGTTGAACACACACACACACACACACACACACACACACACACACACACACACACACACACACACAAACACACTCAACACAGAACAACTCAGTTTCTGTTTTTCTTTCTATTCCTGCCTATTTTCTTTCTCAAACTGATATTCCCACTCCAAAGTGGCTTTGCACACACACATGCACACAGAACACTTCACCTTTCATACAAAACGGCATACACACACTCACTAAAATCCCTTCTCCCACCATCCACCCACCCTCATGACCTTTTCTTGCTCCCATCTCATGTTAGTTCTCCAAATTAAGCCCACACTGAGCCCAAGAGTAGCACTCAGAAAAGTGGCCATCTGTGACACACATATGCTCATATACACACACACACACACACACACACACACACACACACACACACACACACACACACACACACACACACACACACACACACACACACACACACACACACACACACACACACACACACACACACAGGTCATTATTAGTGTGTCTTGTGGGTGAACCAGTGCTCTCCAAAGTGTTTCCGTGTCGCCCGCTCGTGCCCCAGACAGACTGAGTTTAATGACCTGGCCTGATAGTTCAAAGCAGCCCTCAGACGCTATGATTAATGAATCTGACCTGCTAATTTCAGAAGAATACAGCTTATTGTATCAAAAAACGCTCTCACAGACACAAACACTGTGCTGGGCTAGTTAACATTCTTGTTCTGTATTTTGAGGAAAAAGTTGTTTTAAGGAGGGAGATTTTGCGATAAGGACAGGAGTTTGCTTTATGTTTCATCAGCGGCTCCAAAAGTATTAACTGCTGCTTTGTTCTAAATAATTTAAGCTGTTTGAACTTGAAGAAGTCAAAGTGCTCAACAACAACAAAACAATTCAAGATCAGAGACAGAAATAATTCCCCCAGCGTACTTATACCAGATTGTCCAACGCTACAAAAGCAAGGACCCAGAAAACAGAAGTAGCATGGGAAGCATTTGTCTGAAGGAATACATCTAACAAATTGAAATTCCTTTTTGTCAGATCATGCCTCCTTCAATTTGCCCTGAAGGAATCACTGTGGTTCGTTGCGTACTTTAAGCACTTCCAGATTGAAGTTGCCCTGTGGCACTTCAGGTTGCATAATCAATCTCTCTCGCTGCACTCTCTCCATTAGTTCTGGGACAAAACAACTAGAGTAACGCTACACACAGCGGCTAAGATACAGCTGAGGACAGGATCCCTGCACACCGCACACATCCGTCTTTTAATGACGGATTTATACTAATCTGAAAAGACTGCACCCTCTTTTAACTTTTTTACTGCATTTAGTGTTAATGAGCAAAACGCTGGAATCTGTTGCCTGTAGTCTGTCACTGTGTTTGATGGTGCTTTTTATTTGCCTTATAATGTTGTGCCTTTAAGCAATCACTACATTGCATACATATTTGGTATTAAAGGTCCCTTCAAGCTTCCCATTTGTGTCACAACTTTTGGAAGGTCTTAATGTTTGTCTTTATTGTTCTTTAGTGAGTACCTTTCACAGAACAATTGACGTTATATCAACTACAAACCTTTTATCTGATTTTTACTATGTCTCGTAAAACAATCTACAAACATTTTGAACACAATATGTTATCAGATCAAGAAATCACGCATTATAGAGAATTTGGTAAAAGGAACCCGCAGGGAAAAAACTAGGTAAACAAACAACTTGGTAAACATTGAGTGTGGTGTAATGTTTACAGATTCTTTTGAATTGATTTAATTGGCCAACAACAAACCGCTTGGTGCTCATAAATTCTTATATTACACATACTAGATAAACAAGTCTGACAGCACTGAACATGCAAATTTTGTGCTAGCTTACATTTTAAAACTATGACAGAAAGAATCAGTTACAACCAGTAATGTGCCTTTAGTCTTGTAAATAGAATTGCAGATTTTCTCATGCTGGCTAACTAGCTCTGAATACAAAGGGGTTTTGAGTGTCATTTAGACAGGTTAGGTAGGCAGGTTTACAAAACTGTAATTTAACACTGTAACACTAATTTTATTAAACATTTTTGTCTTTAGTTGCTTAAACATTACATAGCAATGTACGATTTCAGACAAACAGTGGAGAAGTGGGCGGTGAACGTTAGGTACACTCAGTGGGGGATATTTTTTCTTTGCACAATATAGCTAAATATGTACATTTAATTTGGTTATAAAGTATCCACAAAACAAGCTACTTATGGGTGAAGTCACTGCCTTCTGTACTGAGGTTAGTGTGGCCAGTATACATTGGGATAAACTTAGCCTTAGTGCCTTTTCAATATTACGTCATGCTCAGCAACACAAGCCTAAGAAATGTCTAATGTTGAAATATAATGATCCCTTCTAAAATCAATTAATCTGAGCATTAAAGTGAATTTGGATAAAGGAAGACAAGGTCAGCAGAAAAAGACTACACCATTTGCTCCTGAACATTGCTCTTTAATGTTTTCTGAATATTTATTGAGCTCCAAAAGTAACTGAATTTGTCCTTTCTGCTTTTTTCCAAGTCATTTCCCTTGGTTGTAGTTGGTTAGTACTATATGCGTTATGTTTTTCTTGTCAAATTTGATTAGAAAGATGCGATCTTTTCTAAAAATGAGAAGTTTTATCCTCAATAGGCCTATATCTCAGTCTTAAATGAAATACAGAAAAGCAATATTTGAAGTATCAGGCACTGCAGCTGAAAGCTTAGTGAGTAATGAAGACCACTGGGCGAGGGAGACAAACAGACAGAGCCAGTTTAAAGCCACAATGGCTTTAAATATATTTATGAAGATGTTTCTATATAAAGGAGTGGCGATAATGATAACTTATTTTGTCGTTTTAATTGCAAGTGTCTAACTGGCTGCGAGTTTGACTAGCAACACAGAACAGCATGAGAGCAGGAAAGAGTTAAACCCATAACACCAACAAACTGCACGCTAGCTCTCGTAAAGCCACATGCCAGTTAAAACAAACCAGACCACACATCAGGAGGCTGCTGGTAAAGAGAACGCGCTGGCCCGCCCGTACCTGACCCTCGGCAGGGCCGCTGACCCCATGACCTCTGACTGGAGGAAGTGAAAGCTGTGGCAGCGTGACAGGGGAGTGTGAGATGCCTTAAGCAGAGGCGACGCTCTCATGTTCAACCTGAGAACAAACTGCCGATTTTAAACAACACGAGTAAAGAAAAACAAGGTTGCTTGACGGCATGTTTTCACACATTTTACAGGCATTTAGTGGACAGAAGCCTGCTAAGAAGTGTGACATGTCTCAGGTGATGCCAAAGCTCTTGCACACACACACCAAAGCAAGATCTGAACATCAGAGGTCGGCCGTCCTCCAACTGAGCCTCGTCTGCGTGCATGAGTAACACTGTATGTACATGACTGAGTGAGTCAGTGGGCCATTGAGTCAGACAGCAAGTATGAAAGTTCAGTGACACATCATGTAGGATCTTTTACATCTCTGAGTAGACAAATCCAGACAAATTGCACAGTTTAGAACAGAAAGTACCGCAAACTTGAACTGTGAGCCTGATAAAGATAAAAATCCAGAGTTCAGAGTCTGTGGAAACACCAGCAAAAGCATCGCCCACCTCTACTTCACAAAGCTTAAACAATCAACACAGTTTCAGCTGAACCTGAAAAGAAATGTGCTTGACTTTCAGCATGTCAAAACACCTGAAGCTTAAACAGACTTGATCTTCCCCTGATTCCCTTAGAGGTACTGCAGAGGAGGGAACTGGATGCAGCTGTGTGTGTGTGTGTGTGTGTGTGTGTGTCTGTGTGTGTGTGTGTGTGTGTGTGAGACCAGCACTTTGATATTTAGATTTGCAGCCCACCGCAGGAGAGGGTCACATTGGAAGACTTCCGGACTGCCACTGCTTCCTCCTCATCCATAAGAACACATAATATCACACTCACTTTGATTTATATTTTTCCATTATTCACAGTCACCTTCTAGCACCTTGTAAACACCTCAGACCATAAATCACAAAACTTCTCATCATAAAACACAGGAAAAAACATCTCCACCATCCTCCTCCTAGACTGCACTTCACAATAAACACTAAATGAGGTCCAACACTAAATCCAGGTCACAGTGACCCAGACTCAGAGGAGCTTAAAACAGCTGGCAGGTGCGTGCCGGGAAGGATCGGAGCTCAGCAAAAAGCCACTGATGTGAAAAGAAATCAGACATCAAACAGCCTTTTCAGTGTTGTCACAGCAAACATGAAGACAACAGCCCAGGTCTGCTTTCACAGCAACATTACGCGTAAATATATCCAACAATATTCTTCTAAACGACATTGTCTTAAATACCTATACAGAGAACTTTATAGAATCTGAATGGCGCCTTACCGGCTGTCCTGTGCGCATTCTGCTCCAAGTGCGCACCGGAGAGGACGGGAGAGCCGCTTCTTCCACGCTGGGTACAGCCCATGTTTGTGGCTATCCATACGCTGCGTTGTGTCATGATTTACACCTTGCTGTCACGGCTTGCAAGTGTTCGGAGCAGGCTGTCTCCACTGAGGCTGAAGCAAACATGAAGAATCCATCGAAAGGGGTTCTGCTTCAACGCCAGAGGCGCCTCCTCCTCGTTTCTTACGCGGCCAAAATCCCTTTTTCTCTGTCCTGTCAAGGCTTCTTGGCAGAGTCTCAGCACCCTGGACCAGAACAGAGAGGGTGGATAGTGAACACAGACTGTTAACCTGCGCGTTAAAGTCAGATTATTTTAACACGTCTGAAGTTTTATAATGGATCTTAAAGTTTGAGTGACCTATCATCACTGGATGAGACAGTCTCTCACCTTTTAGCATCATTTTTAAACACATTTCCACATTCAGGTGTTTCATAAAATCAGATGTATCCTACTTATTTTTTTATTACTATTTTCTACTAGAAATTAGTTATCTCACACGTATTTTCATTTTTTTTTTAAAAAAGAAAGTGTATTTTAGGAAAAACAAATAAGAGACCAAATGACTTGTTAAGATTGACGTTTTACAGACGGAAAGCTATCCAGGTCAGGGAAAATAAACTTTACAACTGCCTGGCGCGTGCAGGGTAAAGCCTATATACAACCTAATTAGATAGAAGTTTGTTTGGTGTGATATAAACACTCCAACACGGTGGACGAGAGAGAAGGACACACAGTCAGAGGTGTATAAAATGTTTGTCCTCAATTAGCTACCCGTGCTGCTGACTCACGTCCAATCAACGTTTAATGAAATGAAGCCAGTTTTTCAGGCACGACTCCCCTCTCCTTACCTCCAGTAACCTGTTCAGTCTTGCCTCCAAACAGCCTGTATGGATAATGAGTAAATAACACTGCGGGAAATTTCTCAGCGCGTCTCTTTAAAGTAAAGTCAAGGTCGATACAGTCTCAAAACGTCCAAGAGGGGACTCGGCGCGGCCCCCTAATTTAGGACGAGATCGCTCGAAAGCCTTGTTTTCTTCTTCTTTTATGGGTCAGCTGGTCTTAAGCGGATTTGCATGTCAAGTTCAAACTGATAAAATGCTGCTCTCTCGATCTTAAACGTAAAAACTCCATGCGTCACGCCTTTACGCAGCTACAGTCCGCGTCTCCAAGTGCTTCTCTCTCGCTCTCTTTTTTAAACTCTCTGACTTTGGACTCAGGTATCCAGTTATCAGAGACTGTGCCGCTCCGGTGTCTTCTCTGGAGTCTACTACACAATGTCTACAATGCCTCGCAGGACTGCAGGCTATGCGTAAAAACAGCGCGCCGCTCCGCCTGTCAGAGACTTTGTGAAACCGGAGCGCGGTGGCCGCTGCACAAAGTGCTGTGATTTTTCTTCCCCATCCACATAGCTCAGATGTCTTTTTGTTCCTGCGCTGGGAGGAGGGAGTGAGGGAGGAGGGGAGTGATTGTCATACAGGACGGTCATGGAGTGTTTCTGGAAAAGTGTTCTAGTGGAAGAATCCGGCGAGTGACATCTGTCCTTCAGTGTTTGCACTCCAAGACTCATAAATGTCGAGTGCCTCGCTATATTCCACTTGTAGGCGCACACAGGCAGTGTAAGCATGGTCATACACACATGCATGGACGGATTATGAGACAATGGGCCCCTGGGCACAGACATGTAAAAGGCCCCCCTCCCTCCCACAGAGACACCCAGATTGTAAGAGACACAAAACGACAAGGAAAAAAAAGACACAAAGTCTCTTTGTCATCAATTTGTGTCTCTTTGTAGTTCTTTTGTATCCCTTTGTAATCATTTTGCTTCTCTTTGTTGTGTTTTTGTGTTACTTCGTGGTCATTTTCTGTCTCCTTGTAGTGGCTTTGCATCTTTCAGTGGTCATTTTGCACATCTTTGTAGTCCTTTTACATCTCTCTTTAGTTTTCTGCAATTCTTTGTGGTTGTTTTGCGTCTCTTTTTTGTCATTTTATATCTCTTTGTGGTTGCTTTATTTTGCATTACAGTGATTTATTTGATTGACTTTTCAACAACAACAACAACAACAACAACAACTGTCAACTGTCACTTGTAACAGAGGCTCTGGCACAGGGGCCCACTGACCCCTTGGACCCTTGGGCCTGTGCCCAGTAGGCCCGTTAAAAAATCTTTCCATATGCACATGCATGATTGATTGCATGCACCTGTAGGGCTTCATTCTGTACACACACAAACACTCACGTGTGTTTGCCACCCTGCCTCATATGTTTGCCCAGTTAGTCCTGCCCTGGTCTCTGTACTGTGTCACCTGCTGTCAAGTCTGAAGGATGGGCAAAATGAGTACTCCTCTGACAACCACAGACCCCTGCTCACTGCACCAAAAACATGCACCTTCCACCAGCAGAGTTCCAAGCCCCCTTTCCACCTTGCAGGTTTGTCCCATTCCATCCTACCACCCCACTCCACCCACCCACCCTCCGACGCATGGAAAGGCCCTCCAGCTGAGGCACTCCCTGCAGGGCAAACACTGAGGCCCGCCGAGCACAAAAGCTGGGTAAACAGCTCCTTGGCTTTCCTCTCCAGGCCCACTCTCCGCGCAGAGGCAGAGACAAATGCAGGGAGGATCCCTGGTCTGTGCCACAGTGCTATTAATAGTAGCAACCAACAAGGCAACAATGCACACAGCTGAGGTGCATGACATGCAGGAATGTACCGTCAGATAATAAAGATGAGCTCAATAACAAGAAAATCTAATATTTGTTACTTGTTGAGATCCAAGATGAGCGAGGGATGGCAAAATAAAACATTGTTTTCCTAATATTACCAAAAACAAGCCTATTTTACTCTTTAAACCCACATTACCACACACATCAAACTGATTTGGCAGCCAAATCCTCCTCTTTAAAAGATCAGACAGTAACCTCCAGAGTAAAAAATGTCCCTGATAAAAAGAAGCACTGTGTTAACTCTAAGTCAGCAGGTTGGTGGCAGAGTTTCGGCAGGGGGCACCACACTGCTACCAGGGCCACACATTAAGAAGTGTGTGTGCTTACCAGAAGTGTGTCTACATCATCCATCACTGCGGGCAATGGTCATGGACTTGTTTGGCATTGTAAGAGGGATTTGCAGCATGACACTGTTTGTACACCCACAGTTAAACCCCATGCAAGCACAACATACACATATCCTCAACACACACACACACACACACACACACACACACACACACACACACACACACACACACACACACACACACACACACACACACACACACACACACACACACACACACACACACACACACACACTCTCTCTCTCTCTCTCTCTCTCTCTCTCTGGCAAGCTGCAGGAACATAACAGCTGTTGTGGAATTTTTCATTTCCTTGTAAGAATATAAAACTGAATTTATGAGAAACCTTTTTAAAGACAAAGATATGAGATTTGGGGATTTTTATCATTTGTGTCCAGAACGCGCTGGTGGTAGGGATGGGCATTGTGCACAGCTGTTTCCATGGATGGGGAGAGGGTGGGTGATTTTGACTTTGGATGGTGATGCTGAAGGGAGAGAGAGAGAGAAAGGAGAGTGGCTGTTCCAGATGTGAATTTAAAGGGTATTTCCTCCAAGGTTTGTCTGGTGTCTTGCGGAGGTCACTGCCCTCACTGCTTGTCCTTCCTCTCCGTCTCTTCTGTGTTCTCTTCATCCAAAAGGTGCCTTTCAGTCTTGGGCCTGTTCCAACTTTAAAAGTTTGTTTTCACTTTTCAAGTGGAAACTCCCTTCATCCAGCACACTGTCCAAAGCCCTCAGGCTAACTCTGTGAAACAAAGCCAAAGCTGTGGGACAAAGTCGTACTGTAGCTGGAAGAACAAAACAGTGAACTCCATAACAACGCGTTTCCACATTAATGCAAACAAGCGAATGCAGCGCAGATAAATCTGAAGTAATGAACATTTTATCAGAGCATTTCAAAGCTGCGTTCCTGCAGGCGTCCTCCAGATTTCTTGTATCACTGTTTATATAAACAAATCATAAAGCAAAGTGTCAGCATATGGCTTGATTAGAGGCATTATTATGGGAATGGATAGAGGGTGAGCAGGGTACACAACACGGAAACTACAACTGTGTGCAGTGGTGAAACTTACAGTATGTCACTCTGGCCTCAGTCTTATCTCAAGGAAGTACAGCTGAAATGAAAAGTTGAATGATCAAACATTAATCAGGGACAGTTTTGATAATCAATTAATCATTTAAGTAATTTATCAAGCAGCAAGACTGAGAGTCTACATCCAAAGTAGCTCTGTGAGGTTGTCCCGAGGCATTACAGTGCTTTGAGCCAAATGCTAACATGCTCACAATGACAATGCTAACGTTTTCTAGCTAAGACAAACACAAAGTACAGAATAGGCTGATGAGAATGTCATTAGTTTTGGACCAGTTACAATTTTGACCTGATGGTGGCACTAGATGAAAAGTGAAGGCATGACCAAAGTCATTAGGATTCATTATCTGGAGACCATGAATGTCTGTATTAAAGTTTGTGGCAATTCAACTAATATTTAAGATATTTCAGTCTGGACCCCTGTCACTGTCAACTGTAGACCCCCTGAGCCTGGTTTACATCAATCTGAATTTAGTATTTTTAGTGAGAATTAAAGTTTGTCCTTGATCTTTAGTCATACCACACGATCTTCATCACGAGTTTGTCCAGTCGTCATGGAAATGTAGATTTGAAAGACATTTTAAATTTAAATCGCTGAAAAATTATCTCACCACAAGTGTCACCATTTAGTGTCAGACTCCATCTGCTCGTAAAGATCAAGTTAATATGACCCAAAAGCTCCAGAACAACTACTACCAAAAGGTCAATTTGTCTGCCAACATGATTCTCTGAAAAAGATGGAAACAGCCACAATTTCATTAAAACGGGGAAAGCTCCTTCTGTTGCCTGGTTTTAATGATCTGAGTCAACCACAGGAAGACTAACTGATGTTCATGTGCATCAGCTAATGGGGATCCTAATAAAATAAAATCAAAATCAAGTGATATGACTGTAAGAAAAACAGTTACTAAATGGAGCCTGTGGTGATATTTCTTATTTTATTCTTTTTGTTTTGGACCGTTGGATTAGACAAATATGAGGCAATTTAAAGATAATAGTTTGCATTCTATGACTTTTTGATGAGCTACTTTACTGTTTTCTGAAATGTTTTTGGTCTGAAACAATTGATTGAAGATCAAGAATGATGAATAAATGGTTGGATACAAACAAAAGATTGTATTAGCATGAATAAACACAATATTGTCAGATCCATTCAGGGCTCCAACAACGATGACATTTATTTATGTAATGCCAAAGTAGTATAAAAATGTATTTGTGCTTCCTCCTTATACTTCATCCTAAAGGCCTCGTAGCGGACTATGCAGCAGGACAATCAGAAACATTTAAAACAATGTCTTGCCATGTTTTAACAATCCAATGTCACCTTTGAAATGTTTTGTACCCTTCTGAAATTATACTAATCTACATTCACTAGAAATGATGATGGCGCACTAGTTTAGATGCGGACAGGACGAGAATAAACCCTCAGTCCCCTTCAGTGACACGACAGCCCTGTAGGTGTGTCACATCCAGAGACAAAGGTAAACTGACAGTATGTAGGACACAGTGTGGAGAACAGAATGTTGTTTTTCCCCTCATCTCAGCTGACCCGACATTAAGTAAACAGAGGGGGGGAAAAGGGTGTCCGAATGGGTGTTTTCTCTCCCCATTCCAATTCTTTTTACGAGGAGTTTAAATTTCAGGCCCGGGGGTCGTGGCCCCTCCGTTCCAATCCTAGTGAGAGGAGGTGGGGCGGGAGAACCTGTCGCCGAGAATAAAAGGCCCGTCAACTGAAGAGGTGCAGGCGTGCTCATACCCCTGTCTGCCGGACCAACAGGAACGACCGCCTTCAGCCGGCCGGCCAGCCAGCTGCCTCGGGGAGATCCCAGGTGGCAAATATCCTCCCTGCTGCGGGGAGGGAGCATTCGATCCCACCCTGTGAAGGTCAGGAAATCTGTCGAGTCAAGAGTAGCCGGAGTGAGGAGGTTTTGGTGACCGGTGAGGCGTGACTTGTAGGGGCCCAAAGTTTCTGGCACCCCATTAACAGCAGGATGGGACAGTCCTGCGGCGGTTTAAGGGGCCCTCAGCGTCTTGTCCTCTTTCACCTCACACCAATACTGACTTACAGCAGCCACAGCTGGACAGCCTGCTCTCGCTCGTTCTCAGCAACGCTCCTCTGGTTTATGGTGATGCTGCGGTACGTGAAAGTGAGTTTTATGGCTGCAGCTGAATTCTCGGTGTGTATTTGTTGCGCGGTGTGTGTGTGTGTGTGTGTGTGTGTGTGTGTGTGTGTGTGTGTGTGTGTGTGAGTGTGAGTGAGAGCGAGAGCAACAGGTCTCGAATGGGTCCCTCACGGCTATAGCAATGAAACAAGATCTGCCTCAGAGTAGAGCAGGTGAAGAGAAAGAAATACACGGTGCAGAGATGGGAACAGACAGCATAATAGAAAGACTGGTGGAAGGAGAGAAGAGGTGAGGGAGAAAAGCGAGAGGGACACAGAGTGGGACAGACATAAACACACACGAGAAGAGAAGAGAAGAGTACATTAGGGAGGAAGTCCGGTGGATGGAGGCTTGAAAAATGATTTCCTCTGGCTCTGCAGGTAGGAGATACAGAGTACAGAGCAGCAGAGGAAATCCCCTTTCTCCACACTCCTCCATTGCATCCCTCCTTCATCTTTACTGTGAGCTTCCTGCAGTTTGTAACCTCTGAAACACACTAAGTGACTCACAGACAATATAATACCTGATGTATGCTGCATAACATGAGGCCCCCTCATCTATAAGCAGAGACTGTGGCTGTGAAGGCTACACTGTACTGTAAAAAAGCCATCTGCAAAGACATTCAGGCCACCCGCTGTCACACTTTGACAAAAGCAAGGAGGAAAAGTACCGTCTCTTGAGATAAAACAGAAAGTAGACTAAATACATCAAAAATATTTACTATATATATATACTGAAAATTCACAGTGTACAGAAATATGTATATACAAAAAGACAAATACAAAAACAAACAAAAAACCACTGTTTTGCTGTTTGGAAAAAAATATATCCAGTTGCTCCACAGAAGCAGTCAAAAGATGCAAACAACATGCACAGGCAAATATCCATTACAAACGTATTTATTGAGTTGCAGAAAGCCATTTAGGACTGTATATAAAAAGAAACAGTAACACTTTTGATCACGTTTGACTTCCCACTGATTGTGATGAAAAAAAAAAAAAAAACAGGATTCATAAATATGATGAATGATAAAAGCGAATACATTCGGCTTTAATAAGAAGAGATTATCAGAAGAGGTGATTTGGGTCCAATCCATTTAAACTCCACCACCATTTGTTAAAATTCAAAACCTAGAAGAAAGAGGAAAAAAAGAAAAGAAAAGCTCTCACTCCAACTATGGATCTGTTTAGTCTCAAAGCTTTAAAGACCATACTGGTGGTTTGGTGTGTTTCACTTTAGCTTGCTGACTGCAGAGTGCACATATTTACATTATTAATGACCCTATTCCAAAACATACAAGAAGATTTTGATTGTTTTTCCGACTTTCAAGCAGCTGTCAAATGATGTCAGTACACTATGACAATCTTCCTTCAGCAAAACCTGTTATACAAAATCTATGACCCATTACAATATGGTCTTGCGGTGGTCAGCAGGGACCAATTTCAAAGTCTCACTTGCTAGTGCATTCAAAGATGTTCCAACATTTAAGCATTAAAAAGGTACCCAATGGTTTAGCATTGCTCTTCCATAAATCTGGGGGTCTGAAGAGACAGATGCAAATAAAAAAGTAAAAAAAAAAGATTAAAATATTAGTAGCAGAGAGCAAGATATGCTAACTCAAATTAGCCACCATGGACAAAGAAATAAGGGAATTTGTTAATTTCTTGCATTAAAACAGTTTCTGTTAAGCAGCCAACACTTAAACTACACTTGTGTGTATGTCGTTCACAAAACCAGCAGTATGAGGCTTCAAGTCTTCCTAGACTGTATATTATGTATATACAGCACACATATGAAATGGACTGGTCCCAAATCACACACATAGAGGAATGACCTGTCCTGACCTGGAGCTGATCTTACATACTGGATCAAGCTGCAGTTACTTTCCCATGTCAAACTCCTCACTACAGTTTCCAGGTGATGAGGTGTAAGGCACTGAGAGCGCCTCGTGATAGTGCAATGGTCAGCTGTTCCCCTGTACCTTTGCTCTCACAAAAATAAAACACAAGTCCTTAACAGGGCGGAAGTTTCCAAAAAGTGATCCATTCCTTCAGTCCCAGCGGAACCGCTCTGACTGGACTGGGAAGGACACGTGGCTTCACGATCCCAGCAGAAAAACACTAATCAAGGAAAGTAACATGTGATGAAGCAATGAAACATGCAACAAGAGCAGCTTACTGATTGAGTTAACTCTCTGTGTGTGTGTGTGTGTGTGTGTGTGTGTGTGTGTGTGTGTGTGTGTGTGTGTGTATGTGTGTACAGTAAATATGCACTTCCAAATGAGAAGTAGAAACAGAAAATAGGGGGAAATAACCTCATTGAATTGTCAAAAGTTGATAAAAACAAATGTAAAACAAAAAAACCCTGCGTTGATAAAGCAGGGCTGAAAATGCACCATCACTGTGTATAAGCTGATTATCGCATACATTTGATAAGATGACAAAAAGCAAAGTGACTTTTGGACATTCTCATATCGTTCTTTTTTGGGGGGGGGGAAGCAAATGTAATGATGTTATACTGAACCTTTGTGCAATGCATTGTTAAAATACTGAAAAATGTGGCACAACCATCATCTTCTATGTGTCCACTGTAAAAAGAAGAGCACGTGTAACATAAAGCACAGAAATAATGGCTGCCGACTAACATTGAACACTGAGCCAATTCCAAAACAGATTCTGCAGTGAATTCACTGCTTCTGCCACAAACTTAAAAGATGCTGCAGTCTCTGAGGAAGCACATGGTGGTGGATTCGAAAACACAAATTCAAACATTTGTGTTTTATCTGAACAGAAACAACAGGAAGCAGGCCTGCCTGTAACCAAAAGGCTGGGAGTTTGTAACAAAATAAATAATTAAGCTAAAAACAAAAATATATATATTTATATTCTACAATCCGAGATTCCACCATTTACCGAAGAACAAGTAAATCTGCAGCAACAGGAGGTTGGAAAAGGGTTCCGACATACAGAACCTGCAGGACACGTTACTGTATGTCTACACTGTAGCCTGGAGGCTCACAGCTGATGAAGTGATGAAGACAGTACCGTGACATGAATGAACCTGGAGGAGGAAGGATTTACAAAGAGACAGGGAGAGAGAGATGCAGTGTTTCAATCTAACTTTTGGGCTCACCTGCGAGAGCTGGTAAACAAAACAAAAATAATTTAGACTGACCAAAATAATGAATATACATTATTCCTGATACATGGTTTCAATGTTATTCAGTGAGGACAAAGTTAAAATCAATATTTTAAAACAAACAGATTTAGAGGTTTTATAGAAAACTTATAAACACTTTTAAATAATTTTTCTGTATTCAGCTTTAATTTGGATCTGTCTGATCTCTCAGCCACAGGGGGATAACTAACCATCCAGACACCAGAAATACACACACAACCACTCTGTGTAGAGCCAGCTTCACAAGCAGGAGGAACCTGGTTTATAGAGTCACTAATAGAATTCCCTTACAGACAAAATACTTCAGAGGAAATTGCAATAACTGAAGTCTGTATATTAGTAAAACACTCGAATGTCTCAAAGTGATACCACTCTGAGTGGAAGGTGATCCTTGTTGATTTATCTACTGTCATCTGGCTTGGCAAGTGTTAATTTTGGACCCTGGACAGACAGTAAAAAAAGTGAATAAATGAATGGACAAACAGGAGGCGGAGGGTGGGAGTTGGAGAAGAGGGGTGCTGCAGCTTGTTAAAAAGCACAGTAAAAATCTTTGATATTTACACTGAGGAAAGTGAATACATTCAGGCAGCAAAAGGAGAGGACGACGACCTCTCCCCTGTACGAGGTACGTTTGGCACTGCTAATACTCAACCCATCCCCGCACACGCTCTGTTACAGTCCTCTTTTCATTCCTTCTCCTCTGTCCCTTCGTTGAGTTAGCAAGTCGAGATAAATGTCAATATGTCACCTCTGCTCTTCCTATTCCTTCATGTGATACTTTGAGTGGGGGGTCGATGTGATAAATGATGAAGCATGGGGCCGGTAGAGCTTTCCTGCAACGGACTCTTGATCCCCCCCCCGACTCCTCATCCTCCCTGCAACAATCAGCAGGAGTCTTTGGTTCAGAAGGCACATGTGTGCATCTCTCCACAGAAACTTTCCTGTATCTTTTTTTTTTTTTAAATAATCTCCTTTGATATGAAAACCCAGACGGTGTGCAGGCCACCCGGGTTCTAAGGGTTCTTTCTCCCAGAGTCGATCCACTTCCCCGCTTCCTATTTAGTAGTCCTTTGGGGAAGGCAGAAGGAGACTGTGGGTGGGTGTAAACTCAGATACCGTTGGTCAGGTCTGTGATGACGTTGGCTTTCACCAGCTTGCGGAGGAACTCCTTCTCCTTGGATATGTTGTGTGTCCATGACTGTGGGAGAATCAGAAGAAAACACTAATTCAGAGTGATACACAAAATAACCCACAATCAGTGTGAGTATGCACTAGTATCTGAGAGCGCTTATTCCCAAAAAATTGCTATATGCACTGAAACCTGTGGGTTAGTTTAGGATTTTCGTACTCCCAGTGTCTACACGCGTGGGTGTTCATGTGTGCATATATATGTGTGAAGCCACACTGGGTCAGTTTTCCTCCCTGCTGTGCTATGAGGATTCAGTCCAGTGGGCCGACATGTAATCAGAGCCGGCGGTTCCTGTGTGGTGCTTTGGGATGCAGAGACTAAGGAACAGCCAGAGAGCAGATGAAGGAGGCAAAGGGTGGGGGAAGAAACATACAGGAGGGAATAGGAGGAACAAAATAAGTGGAGAGCTACAGGAGGTTGGGCCCTGCAGCTGCCTCTGGTCTGTGCTGCTGGTTCAAGGCTTTCCTACAGGCCTGTCTGGGTCAGACCTCCTACCACTATGTGATGGGTCACAGCAGGACCATAAGGAACAATAAGTTACAGTTTCATTGGAAATCAACATAGGAACAGGGCTGTAAGTCCAGTAAAATATATATTTGCAGTCAAAAATCATGTTAAAGTGATCTTTAAATGTATTCTTGAAAACGAAAAACAGTCCTTTAGAGATGCATCTCTAAATCAGAATTTTTGATTTGACAGCTGAGCCAGCAAAGTGACAGAGACATTTCCAGGTACATGTCTAAGCTATTCAATATTCTACACCTGGCTATCTGATGATATGACCAGTGACAATAGAATACCAATAAGTTTGAATTGAAAATGTAAATTTTTGGGTTCAGGTATTTTCTATAAAACAGATATTAGAAAAAACTTGCAATTGAATTTAAGCTGGACCTTAACAGTCTGTCCACTGTCCTTTGGGGCACCAGAAACCAGCTGTACATGCAACACTGACATATTATCACCAGACACCGAGCCACATGTAATTTGGGGTCACGTTTCTGGCCTCCTGATTAACTCTACTTTTAGGTCAGTTTTCCTCTACGACGTTCTGGGAGGGAAATATCTGGCTCTTCAACTGCTAAATGCTCCACTATGTTCACCAGCTAGTCTCTGACTTTGTCTGTCTGCTGATTGGTGCTAGGCAGGTAGCGTACAGTGGATTTATCAGAGCCGTTTTGGTTGAAAAACAGGTGCTTGCAGCAGCTGGAAACGAGGTTAATGAGAGTTAATCAAAACATTCAAATTGTGGGCTGTAAAACCAAAACAATGAGCTGAAAGACACCAAAAAGCTCTGTACAGCTGCAGAGCCAGGTGATAAATCTTGTGTGTTTGTCACTATGAACGAACCGGCTTTAACTAAGTCAATTTTTCACTAAGTTTGATTAGCTCTGACATAACGTGTCTCATACGCCACAGCAGGTGACCTTACTAGTCCCACATTGTCTAAAGTGATGTATGTGACATTTTATGATCAGTTTTTGTGTATCTTGTCTTTCCGTGGAGCTTTAAAGCATCCATCCAGATAGGAAACAGGCTCTTTCTCCAAAACAGTGGAATAATACGTGGATAATTTCACAGCTCAGCGTCCACGTGATTCCAGAAAATCAAACAACTCCAGGGAGCAGCAGTGGTTAAGAGTTCCAAACAAAAAAGCCAAAAGTATTCCCATTAATTAGCCATGTGTGGTTGATGATGACAATGTTGATGAAGATGATGATAATAAATGCCAAAGGTTCACTGGGAGTTTAGACAAAGGTTATCATCATACTGAGCTCATGGTTTACACACGTCAGCACACTGGTGACATCTTTGATTCCACTGGGTTTTAGTGTAAACAGTGAGAGGAAAACTCGACTGATGGAGAAGAGAGATCTGTCATGAGGGCGTTTAGAAAATGATTATTCAAACGACGCACTAACAGTTAGCATGCAGTGGCTGATGAAAGACCAATGCCACTTCAGTCTGGGGAAATTACAGATTTAACCTTTTGATGATTCCATTCTTCAGTTTTCTTTTTTTTCTGGATTATGACAAGTTTTTAATGGTAGAAGGGTCGGTACAACCTTTATGCACACTCTGATGTGAAATTACACTCAATTTTCTTTAAAGCTCCAGTGTGTAACATTTAAGAGGATCTATTGTCAGCAATATTTCTACAGCATCCCAGAACGGACAAACCAAACACTGTCTCTAGATAGATACGGCCTATACACTTGGAATGGGATAGTAAGGTGAGGGTATTCCAACTACACTGCCAAAAAATCCACTGGACTTTCAAGTTTAAAGCAATATAAAGTTCTGAAAGAATGGCATCCAAGCCAAACGAGAACATTTTAACTCAAGTATTTACAGTTTTAATAGCACCAAAGACCCTGCCATTAAAGACTCATATCTTAACACTCTGGTTTGTCAGAGTACAAGGAGCCAATCAGCACAAGTCCTGAACAACTTATCCAATTAGAGCAACTCAACATTTTTTAATACAAATACAACCACTGAGAGCAGTTCAATGCATGAACAATTCTTAGACTATTATTAAAATCAGAGTATATAGCAAACGCTTTTTAGTGAATGTATTTTGGCTGTTCACCTCCCCTCTTCCACAGCCACAGGTGGCCCCTGCTCAAAATTACAGTTATTTGTTTCTTCAGTTATCCTTCAGTGGGCGGAGCGGGAAGGGAGCCAGAAAATACTGTTGTCATTATTTGGAGGGAGAGAATGTCACATCAGATTTCATTTAAAAATCTGGTCATTTAAGAGTGCCTTGATCTCTTACAAATGTAGAACTATGTTTAACACAAGAAAGGGTTTTTACTTCGGTATCTCAACCAAACACACTTATGATTTTATGTATTGATGTAAGTGCTGTGCTCAGACGCACCTCTTTAATGGCGGACATCTTGACAGTCTCGTAGTAGTGCAGAGGAGCATGGGGCTTGTTCATGTCATAGCCAAAACCCGCCACCGCCACCTCATCACAGTTATGCAGTGCCATCGTTATAGCAACTGTTCCCAAAGTTGGAATGTTCTGTAAAAAGAAAAAAAAGGGCGGATTAATATGGACAAGACCATGTGCTGTATTATCATTTTCAGACATTTTTTTGAACTGATCATAGTTTCTGACACTAGCTTAGAGACATATGTCCACCCCTCTCTCGTGTATCTGCGAGCCTTGCTCCTTTGTACCTCTGTCTTTGTTCTGCTCCACTGCTGCTAACTGACTTTGAGCACTTGGTGATTAACTATTACCTTTAAGACACGACCCCTGCAGACCCCTGCTACAACACAGTGATCTACAGGGTTGAACTGTGCTTCCTAACCGCCTTGGGCTGCCCCGTGATCTGGGGGGTACAGGGGCTGTCTCTCTCTCTCTCTCTGTGTGTGTGTGTGTGTGTGTGTGTGTGTGTGTGTGTGTGTGTGTGTGTGTGTGTGTGTGTGTGGTGTGTGTGTGTGTGTGTGTGGTGTGTGTGTGTGTGTGTGTGTGTGTGTGTGTCAGTGTTGGAGAACAAGAGGGGGGAAAAAAAGTGTGTGCATTGGAAAAAAAGTGGGTGCAGAAGAAAGAGTGGAGGGAGGCTCCATTTAAATCATTACCCTGATTTGCAGCCCTCAGGGTAGGTGGAGCTGAACCAGCAGCTGGCCAACCCCCTACTGCGTGTTGTAATACAGATTAATTTACACACACACACTCAACATAAACACTAGTATAACAAATAGACCTCCTCATTAATTTCCACATACATAAACATAAACTACAACGGGCAGAAGACATGGAAGTGTTCAAGGGAAAGAATGTGCCAAATCATACAACTCTGCAGCCTGTACTGTATGAGACAGCACTACAAACACTCAGACACAAACATTAAATGTGCACACACAAATGACCAACACGCTGTCTCTCACACAGAGGCCAGATGCCCACATGTTGAACACATGTTGCAGAGCGGAGTTCATGCAGGGGTGTTCTGGTGGAGGGCAGAGTTTCGGTGATAAAATCCTCATGTCCTCTCCAATTCCCTGACAATATCCCCCTCCACTTACCAACAAGGCAGACATACACACAACTCAATGATAGATTAATATAAACAGTCTTGTTCATAGACAACCATGTACACACACACCAACTTAACTATAAATGCTCCATGATTATTACTTCATATTTGTCTGCTCTGTACTCTGGTTGCTGGTCAACTAACACTTCTACAACAAAATATTCTCTGGTCTCTGGTAAAGACCTGATACAGCAGTCTCAAGTCCAGACAAATATAATTAATGAGCAAAGCGCATACATCCATTTCTAACATCAAATAAAAACAATACAGTGCTGTAGAATTCAGACTGGACCATGGTTGCAGGTTTCGACATTTTCGCAATGTCAACAAGGAGAAATTGTTCGGTATTTCCTCTTAATCTACTTTCTTCTCTCTCTTCATCTTGAAAATGGTGGACATATGCTGCAATTCTGAGGTACAGAACCTCCAAGAAAGCCTTCAGGTAAACAAGGATTCAAGTAAAATACAACTGAAGAGCAGAAAGATGGTAAAAAAAAAAAGTACATAGCTTGGGTCTGGCCTTAAATGACTCCAGAAACAGCAGATTATGTAACATTTGTATTTTTTCTTCCATCCATTACTTAAAGACAACTGTGCAATGCAGGGCACAGCGCAGTCACCATCTAACCTTGACTTCAGTGTAGTACTGGTACTGATATTGATCATTTCAGTTTTTCTTGGGAATAAATGACAGCACAATGTCTGTTTTAACTCTTCAGGATCCAGATTTCTCAGTTCATTTGTTTCCATTCAAAACCACAATCTAATGTCTGCGTGTGTGCCCTTTTCATGATTTGGTCATATTAACTGTGAACTCAATCACTTATAGTATAAACGCAGATCACTTATTGCTTTTTCCCCTCTTTCTGTGCACATTTACAAAAGTTGACAAAAGACAATCATGATATTGTAAGTGTGTGCCTGTGTGTATCTTACCCCTTTGCCCATTAGGCCGTTGTTGAAGGGCAGACCTATAAACTGGAAGGCAGCCTCCTGGATGAAGTAGGGATTGAGGATTCTTATCTCAGTCGGCTCCCGAGGCACATAGTGAGCCACTGACTTCCAAAAACCCTCTGTGCCCCTCTGAGGTAATGGCAAGGAAACAGAGCAGAACATAGACAAAAAGAAGGGAGGAAAAAGAGAAATTGAAGAATTAGTACTTTTCATCACAAACAATGGGCTGTTGTGCATAAAACACAAAACTGACATTCACATGACACCTCCATGATGGACAGCCAACGGCAATTTACCAACCCAACATCAAAGTGAGATTATCCTCTGTAACACTGACATAAAACACAGAAGCCAACCAGAAGTCAACCAGAAGCCAGACCCCATACAAGCACTCATTAGGGAAATGGCTTTTGGGCCTTTAATAGATGAAGTCAGGGTGAGGGGCTTGCAGGACATCAGTAATTACGACTTCTGGTAGGAGCAGAATCAAGCAGTGGGTGAGGAGGGCAGCTGCCCTGGAGAGCTTTAAAAGCCCCCCTCTTAAAGGTTTCATTAGTTGTAGGGAAAAAGGTTAATATCAGTCGCTAGGAAAACCTATCAGAGAACCAGCTGAATAATATTATGTGACTCTGATTAAATGCTTTTGTTCAACTCAGTCATACCAGAGCGACTACTGAATATTAGGAAACTGAGACACAAACTCACAAAAGGTACCCTTGAAAATGATAGCCAATACGTCATACAGATTAATACTCATAGCCAATTCTGACTTCTCAACTAAATCTAATTGACAAGATTACACCTCCAATAAATCAGCCCCCTTTACAGCATTACTTCTAATGATCAACCAAAGCAGTGCGTGATTGACTTGCCTGACAGTGCAACTTCCTTAAAGGCATGAAGCCAATAGGGTTGGCAGATGTTAATGGGAATCACCTGTTCAAATAGCCAAGCACCCGCCCGTCCGCCTTTGATACAGCAATGCATGGCTCTGTGTGTGTGTACTTGTGTGTACATGTTTGTGTGTGTGTTGGCAGAGGCAGTAGCAACAAGTCTTCTGGCTTTGTGGCTTCAACACTGGCGGCTCTTTTTGAACGTGGGCCCGGCTCTGTGCCTTCGGCAAGCTGTAACAGGAACAGCAGCTCATCTCTCCTGTCAACACAGCTTGTGTTTGCCAGGAATCTATTTAGCAGCGCTGTTTGGATGTGAGCGCGTCTGTGTACGCTGAATAAAGAGAGTGATGCATTTTTTTCTTTATTCTAGGAAGGAGAGAAGCTAATGACACACAACACACACCCCTCACTTTAAACAGCAAAGAGCTGACATGTACATAGACACAAATGTCATGGGGTGGGGATCTCTTTGAACATATTCAGACAACCGGCAAAGTACAGGTGGCTTTGAGAAATGTAAGTATGTAAGGATTCAAGACTGTGAGGAGGGAGGGGTTGTGGGTACTGTTATGAGTTTAAGAATGTGGGAAGTTGTTTACAGGAAAGGTCACCAACTCAGACCTCCGCCAGATAGGATGGACAGGACAGGGAAAGTGAATTATAACACTGCAGCCTCACTTAGCTCTCAAACTACTCCAGAAGAGTTGTAAAGTGACAGCAATGAAGACTTTGTGGGATGCTACTGGGTATATAACGGTGATAGAAAGAGCTTCAATAACAATTCACCAAGTCTTATCTGGTTCAGTAAAGGTTCAAACAAACGTGTAATTTATGAGCAACAGTCATGAAATATTGCTCAAAGACGGTTAAATATGTGCAGAAGTATGACTCAAAGCTCAAACAACTGGCCCCCAGGGAACAGGATGTGGCTTTCTTTGTGGACTGACCACTAACCTCTACGTGAGTGTGTATTAGTTTGAGAAGAGAAACATTGCTGAGCCAGTAGCATTTGATTGTGGACAGGAGGAAGCTGCAGAGCGGTGGCAAATTTAGCATACATTTTAACCTGGTTGAAGGTTTTCTTTAACGAAAGAAAATCTGCAAAATAAAATGCAAATGAATGCACATTTCCATCCAGTGCTGTGGAGTTGGGTGCATCAAGATCGGTTGCTGGTGCAAATTCTCCAGTCATGTGTCCTTAAACAACAGCCCAACGAGATGAGTGGACATTTAAGTTACTTCTTGTACATAACAACTTATTCACTAAATCTGTTTCCATTGCACTTTAATGCTTTCTGCTTTTATGGATACACCAAGTTTTCACCTTCAGCCGAGCTAGCCGGCTTATTCACTCGTGTTTTTTTACACGCAAAAATACTCAATAAAACATGTGGATGGAAATACACTTACTGAGTATCTGCATATCATTTAACTGTTTGAGCAAACACAACGTTTTTTTTCTTTATGCCTTTATTTGACAGAGAGATAGCTGGAGAGAGACAGGAGAGGGGGGCAGAGAGAGAGGGGACGACATGTAGCAAGGGGCCGCACCCGAGCCGCCTCGTATATGGGTCGTCAGCTCTACCGACTGAGCTAAACGGGCGCCCAAAACACAAAGTTATACACATCTCAGCCAACTAAATATTTCTTAGAGTGAAGACGCTATCCATACTTATGACATTTGAAAAGCTCATACAGACTATTGAAATCAGCATATGGGCTAACTTTCTGTCCGCAGTTAGCAGTCCCCTCCCTCCTCCCCACAGCACCACACTAAAATTCTGCTGCCTGCCCATGAACATGTAGAGAGGACTCCCTCTTTGTCGAGTTTTCTCTCCAGATTGGATGAAGTGGAAACGGGATACAAGATGGCTGTCAGAATGTGTATGTATTTTACACTTACTTGAAAGAATTAAGAAAATATCGATTACAGCAACTTTATAGAGGTGAGCATACTGAATTTACAAAGCTGAAGAGAAGACTTGTTAGTTAAGACTCTTTTAGTGGAATGAATGCCAAATTGGTTTAATCTGCACTAAAGCTACTTAATATCTGAGTAACAAGTGCTAATCTGACACAGTAACTGTGCTGTATTATAATATTAGTTGCATGTTTAATAAAGTAAACATGGCTTCCCAGACAGATTTCTAGTTAATATATTTATAACCGTATATATGATCACATTGAGGAGAATCCCTGAGAGTTGACTAATATCATAAAAGCACTCAGTTTCTGTATGTTCGCATTGTGAACTGGAACAGAAGCTTTTAAAAAGCTAAGTGTATTTGTCTCGTAATTTCATAGCTTTAGGAGAATCACAGGTATACAAACAAACCAAAGGAGCTTAAAGCGCAGGATTAGAGGAGGACAATGTTAGAGGGTGACGAAGAAGACCTACTGTAAGACAGGACAAGTAAGGGATCAAACAGATGGAAAATATGATGTGGACTAAGAGGATTAAGAACAACGATAAAATGAGTTCTAAAAATGAAAAATGTACAACTTTCTGGAAATTCTGTTTTCCCTTGTGTATCTCAACTCAAAATATCTATGGCAACAGTGGCACATGTACACACAGCAGCTGGTAACTCCTTCAATCTGTTCTTTCTTCAGCTTTACTGCTGAAACATCACTGAAGGATGTCTAATTGGATTGGATTTTAAAGAGCTAAGCCACAATTCAAGTTCAAATTGACAGGATTGGGAGATACTGACTAGATGCTGACTGGCAGGCAGCTCCTTAAAACTGTTACATTTTTTCTTTTCATTTTAATTTTTTTCCAGTTCTATTGCTAAAACATGTAATACCCATGAAAGAAATACAGTCACTGTAAAAGGAAGTGCAGGGTTAGGATTACAGAGCCACTAACCTTGAGACAATCCACCCAGTTGCGTAAAACTGAAAAAAATACACCTCAACTGCACTTTACACCACAAACGTAAAAAGCCTAAATAAGAAACAGCTTAGTTTAGAACGTGGACTTACCCAACCTTGCGTTTATGGTTTTGAGTGTGGTTTGGTTTCAATGTGGCCAATGAAACTTCACTCACCTTTAAACTAAAATATTTCTCTGTATTGAATAAAGGAGATATCTTAGTTTATAGTTCCTGAGGTATTGGGTGTAGAGATGTGGAGCACTGAGCAAAGCTGCAATATGAGGGGAAAGAGAAGAATCAAATCTGCTGGGTTACTAAGGGTGGCTTTAAAGTCCTTCAATGTAAACAAACACAAACAAACCTCAGCTTTCTGTCAGCCACAAGTAGTAACCAGAAAGAGTATATGTTTTGACCTATTCTTGTGTATTCTCCAGAATGATCTCATAATATGGCTGGAATGAGCCAGATGCCCTTACTTCCATGATAGGCAGCTATCATACAATTTGGCTCTATCTTTGGTCCTGTAGATGACATGTCTGAGGATGTGGTTGTGTTTGATGTTTATTGAGAGGACGACTCAAGTGAGGTGGACTGGATTCCGGAAGGTAGACTTGGAGCAATTTAGAAAACCGAAAACGGCGGCTCCGAACTGCTAACAATCACAATTAAGGTTGTCTGGAGGTCATTAGCACTGTGTACATGTTGGACCTTTGAGTTTACAAGTTGCATTGTCTCACCACATACAAGAGGAACCATTTCAGAAAGAATGTTTGAAAAGGAGAGATGTTTTCCAAAGTAGGTGGTAAAGGCTGGAGATGCACAGCAGGGGATTTCGGTTTCTAAAGTCCAGAGAGGTAAAATTCTGGACATCTCTGGTCATTTTATTCCCTTTTGTTAGCCAGGAATCTGAAGCATTCACCAATTTGCCTTTGCTTTCCTTGACACATACCAAGACCTCTGCCCTCATTGGGGTCACAGTGGTTTCTCTTTTCCTGGCCTCTCTTAGGTTATCCCGCGTGTGAAACCCTTGTCTCCACACTCCCATGACGGCAAACGTGAAAACAGTGCCAACACTTGACAGCATTGTAACCCTGAAGACTTGTAAGAGCAACATGGTCTCTGGATAAAAGCTGGTTGTTTCTTCAGCCCACTGACAGGACCCTGCTGGTATCTGACTAAAAAACAAATGAGTCCTTCTTGTGGCCTATAATTTATGACATGCCAAAGTTCTCCTTAAAGTTGCATAAATACTTAATTACCCAACTTCTACTGCATCAGAAGACACCACTAAAGGAACCAAGTACAGGTCTGAGTGTTAATCATTGCAGGCTAGGTAAGTGACTCATTTTTGAAACACAACACTCATGGTAATCAGTGACATCCGGACCCTATGTTAGTCACTTGGTCCATGTTCAAAATGCATGTTTACAAGTATGTAAATGTTTATGAATGCATGTATGCATGCTACTTTGGGCTTCTGCACAGATGTTTGGGCTTAAAAAAGAGCCATATAGCTGTTATTTCTGTCCCACAGTGCGTCCTCAGTGATAGAGTTACAATAAACTTTTCTTGCCAAAATGACAAACTGATAAAAAAAAACAACAACTGGGTGTTACGCAAAGATTAACAAGAAGTGCTTCATCACAATATCATAGCAAGAAGGATTGCATTTGGGAATTTGTCAGTGATGTGAAGCAACCGGCTACTTTGGTAATTCCTCTACACTTGATTTCTGGCACTGCCTAAGAGATGTGCAATGTTTTTAATATATTGGTTTCACTACAATATTTTGATACTTGTGATTAAGAACCCCTGGCTGTATTTCTATTAAAGGAGAAGTACTCGCTTCCTTAAATTGTCTACATCCATCATTTATCTCTCTGGCCTGTAGAGAGCAGGGAGAGCTCCTGTAAACAAACAGGAGAGATAGAACACCGACACTCTACCTTCGAACCCCGTGTTTACCACCGACTGTATATCCTTCACTGGCTCTGTTTGAAAATATCCCCGCATATACAAACAACTGCGGCCGTGTGTGCATGAACCGCGAGTGCACGCTGTGCACGAGGGCAAAATTGAAGCTAGACAAATAGGAAAAGTATATAGATCAGCTATTGTGGAAATCATGTTTGAGCACATTTGTAAACAGTGTGTAACTGGGCAATCAACCAGGCTGCTGCGTATGTGGGGTCAGGCTTTAAAGCAGAGTGACAGAGTCGTAATCACGTAGACCTGTGGTAATGAGGGATTAGGGAAGCTGGAAGCCTTGTGATGCTGCACTGCTGTGATTGTATATGTAGTAGATCTAAAATGCGAGACACATTCAGAGAGAGAACCGTGACTGTAAGCCTAAGATCTGATCAGGACCAAGGTCAAGTTTGCGAATCTGGACTTGCATCTAAAATTTGCCCTGAAGTTCATGAGTCTGTGTGTGTGTGTGTGTGTGTGTGTGTGTGTGTGTGTGTGTGTGTGTGTGTGTGTGTGTGTGTGTGAGAGAGAGAGAGCGAGTGGGAGTTTATGTGTGTGTGTTTGTGAGAGTGTACAAAACACTAAATAACAGATTGGGAAATTGCCTCGCTAATTTGTATTCTGTTCATCCATCCAAGACAGCGCTGTAGGCATTTGAAAAGCCACAATAGCGCAGGATAGTCAAGCACGCTGACAACTGGCTGGATGAGTCACTTGCGGCTGCACCACCCACTACCCTTTCAAAAGAAGAAGACATACACTTGCTTTCATAACCGCAGAAGGAGAGTGAAAAGGTTTTGCATCCCTTCTAGCTGTGAGTGTGCAAGTCACACAAAGGAATCCCCTGCTGGACCAACAGACACAAAAACTCCCAAAGGAGAAGTGTCCAAAGTTACATTACATCTCCCTCTGGGATGGACTAAATGTATAGAGCAAAGGGAGGGATGCTTGCTGATACTTGGTGAGGATTTCCTGCTGCATATCCTATGTAAGTATGTGTTATCCACTTTTCAACAAAATTTCTGATAGGTTTCTTTTACTGATTGAGATAGCTGTTGTCTGGTAATAAGTGAAAAATATTCATGAGTCACTGTTGGAAATGTGTTCCTGAGTTCACAGAAGGCACATAAATACCTCTTCATGTTTATGTTTCCACTGCATTAGTGTATGCTGGGCGTAAGTCAGATACAATAACGGTCTTTTAACAGCACTTCAGTTCCTTTCAAGTTGTTGCTAAGACTTAAAATCCACTTTGGATAAAACAGATACGGTTGCCCCGATAACATGTAGTTAAAAAAGGTCATAATTTCAGCATTGTCACTGCTTTTACACTGCTAATGTGCTTAAATCTACATGTCATCTTTGTGTTTTCTCCTGAAGTTTTTTTAATCAGTAAGGAGGGAAAACAGTCTCCATGAGGTGTATAATAACCATTTAAATTAGCACAAAAATGGCACAGTAATTTAAATGTACTGATTACAATTATCTGTTATGTTCTATTTGTGTAGCATGAAGGGATTACAACTTTCAATTCATTATTCAGGATATATGTATGTTTTATTCTGCTGAAACGATGAACTGAGCCTATTTAAAATGATGTACCAGAAAGAAATTCCAATGACTCTGGTCATGCGATATAGTATATTGCACAGGAACCATGTACATGTAGTGATATATTTATATATTGGTAAATCAACACACAATTCATCGGTCAAACATGGGTCTTTACACCTCTGTCAGTTCTCTTCTTCCATATTCGCATCAAGGCTCTGACCAAGACAGATTTTTTTTTTTGTTCCCTGATTTTTAACCCATGAGAAACATTCTTCCTTTCTCAGCAGATCAAAGGGGGCTGAGTCGGACGCCAGGGGCCAGATCAATTATCCCAGGCAGCCATTTCCACTGTCCTCCCCTTCTGACACACCAGAAAAATCTGGGCCCTATCAGAGGCTGAGGGGCCATCAGCCAGCCAAGCAAGCTATTTTCCTCCATTTTACTTTACAGTTACCTTCCACTGCTCATTTTCTTTTCCACAGCCATTATTCCCTTCACCCTTTCCATCCATCTTTCCTCTGTTCTCTCAACCTTTAATCCAACTTCACACCATTGCTTAGATTCAGCTTTCCATTGTATGCCCTTTTCATCCCCTTTTATAATGGCATTGTTCTTTAATCTTTACTTTTTCTCCTTCATGACTGTGCTCTTTTGACAAATGTCACCTTGTAAAAAAGAAATCCAGTGGTCAGCAAAGTCACACAGCTGTGCTGGAAAATAAAGCAGGTTTCCCAGATTCTGGGTTGACGGAAGCATCCCCCACAAAATATTAGATAAAAAAAAAAAGGAGTTTAGCTATTTAGTGAGTGCACAACCTCTGTCTATAAGTGCTTTTTCATAGTTTAGATAATTTTCTATAACTTATGTAAAATATTTTTCATGTGATTAACTAACCAATAAAATTAAATGAAAACAATTATAATAACTTTTATGTGAGATAAAAATGGTCGGCCATGATGTAAAGTAATAAATATTTGTAATAAAGGGGCCATGATCTGTAAAAACACTGGTATGGTCCTCTAAAATATACAACTACTTTTATTGTAATGACTCTATGAAGAGCTTTAAATAAGAACTCCCACTGTGCTGGAGTTGAATGGTCTCACAGAGGTACTAGAGACTGTTCAACAAGAACAAAACGAAAGTGCTTATGAGAGCTTTTTCAGTGACAATGGATATAAAAAAGGACACAGGAGCCATTAAAAATGACAGCCTTCTGTAATACTTCAAAAGATAAGGGAAAACCAGTTCTATCATTCAGTTTGCCCCTTGTGATTAAAAAGCAAATTCAAAGCCTGTTATTTAACCGTGGCAACCATGAGGTTAAGAACAGGAACAGGTTAAAAGGTGAACATAATTCATGAGAAAATGGCAATGTAGCATGAAGAAAAGTCACTCTGTTGCTAGATAAAGAAGAAAAATGTACTTGTGTGCTAGTCTTTGGTTTTTCTCAACTGTCCATTCCACATTAGGCATTCAAACCATCTAAAACATCCCCTTTATATGTAGACATTCATGTTGTCCTCCTAACCCATTTCCAGAAATGGCTTACATTTCCACAGGAAGGAATGTACAGAATGTGATCAGAGGTTGGACTGCTGTGTTCTGCTAAAAAACACATTACTCTGACATTCAGACACATTTAGACATCCAGAGAAGTAGAAAGACTCTGTGGTATATTTCAGTGGGTAAAGGAAGTGAAAGAGTGAGCATGATGAAACATCTTTGCTCTTTTAGTATTTTAAGAAAGAAGAAGGATTTTTTTTTTGAGTTTCGGTGTTCAGCAGACACTTCTGTCATTTGGATTCTGTTATATGTCAGCTGTGAGTTACCATACCTAGATTTTCCAGGGGCTGTGTGTGTGTATGTGTGTTTAAGATGTTCACTTTCATTCCTTGATGATTAAAAATATCCTTACCAGCTTCTCCTTGAAGACCATCTGTCTGAGCCACTTGAAATCCAGCGGTTTGAAGGCGGAAAAAACAAAAAGTGAGTCTTTTTCATAGATTTCAGGCTTCTGAATTGCTCCCTCTGGATAGGTAATCCTCAAGGTAGTTTTGGTCCCTACATGTTTGCCATAACCAGTTACTGGGGCTTCATTCAACCTGGCAGCAAAAAAAAAAAAAAAAAGTCTTATTTACACTTCCTCAGTTACTGTGTAATCACTTAAATAAGGTATTCTTTGAATCTTTAAAAAGGTCCAGTGTGTGGGACTTAGTGGCATCTAGCAGTATAAGTGCAGACTGCATGCAGAAACTACGGTGGCCGCAAAATACACAAAAAACACCCACATCTAGAGTCGGGTTTGGTTTGTCCCTTCTGGGCTACTGTAGAAACCTGACGGTTCAACATGGTGGACTCCATGGAAGGTGACCCATGGTGTCTGTACATAAAATGGCTCATTCTAAGGTAACACAATGATTCCAATAATGAAAACATACATATGAATAGAATATTCAATTTCTGCCAATAAATCTTCCTAAATGTTACACACTGGTCCTTTAAATAACAAATGATATTGTTTCCGTCTAGTTTGTACTGTTTTGACGTACATTATATAGTTGGTACAAATACTGTTGTTTTGAGAGAGAAAATTGCTCAGACATTCACAGTCATAGCATTTTATTTTACTATGGCGGGATCTTACCTCACAACAACATCATAGTCATCTATACGGGAACCCAGAGACTTGTTGGAGAGGATGCCCCCGTTGCCCACAATGATGCATCTTTTACAGCTGAGACTGCAAGGCGAAGGGTCAGAAATTAGTAAAATTAACAACAGATAAAAAATGTGGGTGAGCAGAAATAATTACCTGTCCAGCTCTTCTCCAAGTCCATAATTTTTTGTGGCAGTTAAAATGCTGTCTATGATTCTTTCTGCAGAGGGGAAAAAAAAGAAATAACCACCATGAGAGGACAATTAAGGAGACATTAAGCGGTCACCTTCACTGCACTGCAGCACAGAAATATTAAACATGTACTTCTTACATGAACGACCTAAACGTAAATACTTGTGTGGGTAATTTTATTGCCCAGTGCACTTTGTGTATAAATACATTGGTGGATAATTGCTTTCTTGGCAATGAAATGTAGACTGGATACATACAACTACTGTCAAATTCTCTTCATCAAAAGATACTGTATCTCGTAATTTGACACAGGAAAAGGTACTATTAGGGTCAGTCACCTTAAGCGCCCACTCCTGCGGAGTAATGCATCGGTTTAAACATCACATATGAGGTAATGTTTTCGAATAAGGAAAATGAAATATTTAAAAAACCATTTCATTTTAGCAAATTGCTCCTTTAAAAAGATTAACAAACTGCCATGGACATCAACATATCACTAGAGATATAGCAATCTAGGTGGTCTTAAAGACGAGAACACCTCTCTCCGTTTATTCAGTCATAGATAAGGAGTGACCAATCAGCCCTCGGGAATAGTGATGGGATTATGGAGGGAAAAAAGCTGTTGTGTTCCTGAGAGGAGTGAATATGGGAGAGACAGACATACAGGGTTCAGAACGGTATGCGTGTGTGTGTGTGCGCGTGTGTAAAAACTCTCCCATAAAAGCACTCAGAGAGGAATGCCGTTTTCAAACAAGCACATTCTCCTTGTTAAGTGGGCGATGTTGAGCTCGTCGCCCTGCGTGGCTAGCACCCCTCTGATCGCAGAGTGAGAAACAGGGATGTTTAGCCATAGCACACATTCCTGCCATGTTCGACGGGGTATTCGGCTACAGTCATGCTTCCAGCATTAGATGTGACATATATTTTTGTCTCTTCTCCTGACCATTTTAAGGCCTCTCAGACTTGCAATTCACCCATCATAACATCCCAAATGGGCAGATTCCATTAAAGTTGTTAACATCTTTGATCCACATTACAGTAATATGGACCATAAAAGGACTATTTGGATTTAACTACTAAGATGTAAGTTAATAATTCTTCCCACATGGGGGGAAAAAAAGTCTCCCTGGATCACATTGTTAAACTAGAAGGGTACTCTGAGAGCGCAGACCTCCGCCAAAGCTAACTGTCCAATCTTCTATGATATGCAAATCTACAAGAGCAACAACAGTACATGTCTGTATTACAACTGACCTCACAATTTTATTGAAAATGAAACATTTCTGTCCCCTGAATCGGATCAGCACCAAAATATAATGGACCCTTCCTTGACCATGCTACATCCTGCTACCAAGTTTCATAAGAATCAGGCAGTAGTTTTTCCGTAATCCTGTTGACAGACAAACAAACAGCACCGAAAACATTACCTCCTTGGCAGATGAGAGGCATTTTCATTGCCTTTTCTACTTCACTTAATATAATCACCATATAGCACATAGTCTGCAAGGGTTGGCCAAGAGAAATAGTGGAAGAGAGAGTAAGAACAAGAGAGTTTAGACTGGGGCCCTCAAAGTAGTTTGTAAGACATATTATAGCCCATTCACCCTGGCTAACAGTCCTAATGATTAACCTGCTGAAGAGAGGCGAGCAGAGCAACAGCCCATTGTTTGGATGTGGTGTCGATGTCTGGCGTCAAGCATCACCCCGAGCAGCATAAACACAAGGCTGAGGACCACACCTGGATCCAAGCGGGTGAAAAGTGAAAAATCACAATGGGCAGGACTCTCTTCCAGAGGACGACATGGAAGCTAATTGTTTTAAGTACCCGGGGTAAACATTTCAGCAAAGTATGTCGCGTGGTAGAGCCAAAGACGAATGGCTGTAGATTCAGACATTAGTCCAACATGGAACTCTTGAAATGACAAAAATCTTTACTGGTAACATAGAGGAAGGTCGGAAGCATCACGTAACACATAAACACAGACACATTGTTGGTAAGAGCGTAGCCTAAACAATATAAAAGAATTATGCGATGAGAGATTGGTATGTGTTAGGCTTGCACTTTGGTTGGCTTCTGACTCAACATCTAGTGCCATGGTAAAAAAGAAAAACTTGATAAATTACTCATCATACTGCAATCAATTTATCAAAGATATTGATAACAATCCTGAAAAGTGGCTGCACAGATCAAGGCGGTATCATCTTTGTTTCCATCTTGTAGATTGCCAATATGAGGTGTTCTAATCTTTGGCACCAGTTTGATACAACGGGAAAGCCAAGCCTTCAGCCATGGTGACAACCTTAGGATTTTGAAATGACTGGAAAAATGCAGGCTCCCCCTTGTTCAAAATTAATCAGGAAATCAATATAGGACTGTATGCTGGTGAGCTTTCAAGTCAAGCCATGTTTAGATATTCACGATTATCACAATAGCGTTATTAGCGCATTTTTTTGCAAAGATAATTAAACTGCTACAATCTTGTGTACATCCAACATGATGATATTCCACATGTCTTCCAAGTATTACGCATAACTACATCTCCTATCATCATAGGACATAATGACAGATGATAACTCAGCAGCAACTCTTTAATGCATTGTGTCCTTTCCAACAGGTTTCCCAAATAAAGCAGTGAACAGCTGCAAGTACTGATTTGTATTATTGATTCTTTTTTATCAATCAATTAATCATTAGTGCAATTTCTTTTGAAAAAATGCCCATTGTAGCTTTCCAGTTCTCAGTTCACAATAAAGAATGACAAAGAAAAGCAAATACTCACATTTGAGAAGATGCATCTACAAAAGGTTTGACATTTCTTCATTATTCTTGTTTGGAAAACAATCAATCAAAAATAATTAATCAACTATCAAAAGAGTTCCTTAAAACCTTGTAATGTAAAATTCACCCACTTTATAAACAGTTCAGTGTATCAACATGTGATCCTTAGTAAAAGGCTAATAGTACAACTAAATGATTCAAACATTACAAGTCTTCATAAAGGTTTGTCAAAGCAAACAGTGACTACTTCTTTAACTGCATAACAGCATCATGTACTGTAAACAGCTCTACTAAGTTCCCTTGTGACTGCAGAAGTATATCATTTAGACAGAATAGCATAATGGAAAATGTAGCCTAGTACTGAAATTGACCATTCAGTGGCTGACTGGCATCCTGCAGTGCTCACAAGTAAGTTTTTTCTCTGAGACCGAATCAACACAGCTTTACTGTTCTCAGGCTATGGTTGATGTGTGCCAAAGATACCTCTTGGCAGAATAAAAAGTAAAAATAAAACTCCCGCCCACCATCACCACTCCATGTTCCCAATTTGGAATCCTTTGTGGCGTTCTATTCAAGATCCACACGTATCATCTCTCCACATGAGTACCACTAAAAGGGAAACCCCACTGCCATTGCAGTCCGTGGAGAAAACAGAAACCAGGTGTAAGACTCACACGGGGAGTGCTCTTTCGATAGCGACTGAGACAATGTGTGTATTTCTGTGTGTGTGTGTGTGTGTGTGTGTGTGCGTGCGTGCGTGCGTGCGTGCGTGCGTGCGTTCGTATGACAGCGGAGAACTTGCCAGAGCACAAAGGTAACTGTCACATATTTTCCAATACTTAGAGGCAGAAGGTACAGTGACTAAGCATGTCTCTGAAGCCAGGTTAATATTATCTCTTCAGTTCCCGTGGCACCGTGTACTGGTTTGATATCTGAAGTCCTGGAGTGTGTTAAGGTCAGGGAACAAGTACAAGTGTGTGGGCAGGCATTAAAGTCGGAGTGTTAGGAGACATGAGCTCCCTGGTCCCAATATAGAATGAGGTTGATATTATGACAAACACAGAAGCCTGCGGTGCCTAAATTGTAAACCATAAACTGACATGAGGTAATCCAACACAATGTCCACTTACTGGTCACTTATTAGTCACGTTACAGAGTAATGAGTCTTTTCACCTAAAAACAATCTTTAGCTGAACACAAACACAACAGAGAGTACATTAACTTTTAATTTAAACCGTTACAGATTAGCCACAGTTGAGTTTGTCTGCAGTCGGTGATGTCTGTCATTTGATCCAGAGACAGTCGACCAAAAGCTAGAAGGCTGCTGCCTGTATTTTTTCCGTTGCTCTTTGCTAACAAAAAGGACTAAGGAAAGATAAATGATTTGTTGCCATCAGTGTTCTGGGTATTTTGCCAAGTGGGAACCAGAACTAAAATGAAACCAGTTATCAAAACCCAACCCTACTCAAAATTCTAACACTAAGCATGGGTGACGTGAGATAAAGACTAGGCATTGCCTTGCATTAAATAGGCTGCAGTTTAGCAACTGTTTCTGACATCTCCGATGTTGGACTGTCCATGAATTAACCAACGGCAGCAGTTTTCAGAAGTCTCTGCTTGCTCTACTATTTCATGACTAACTTTGGTAAAGACTAAATGCAACTAGATAGACACTGTATCTCAATTTATTTATATAGCGCCAAATCAGTTATCTCAGAACACTTTTTATATAGAGCATTAACCATGTTTTTTATAATATCACTTTTGTCTCAGCTCAAGACAAGACAGGAGTAACAACCCTGAGGCAGAATATATTCTGCCAAAAACACCAGCCTTACAACAATGACAAATTATGAAAAGTGAAAAGTGGCAGAACGTTGGCATTCTCCACAGCTGAACAATCAGAGAGAAACCTTGAGGATGAAAAGAGCAGGATATAATAACTACCTTTAAACCACTGACATCCCTGATTGTTTTCAGAAATTTAGAACAGGAAAACAGAATGACAATTCGGTCTGAATATCAGATTACCAGAATAACTTAACTCTCATAAGAGAAGTTGACAAGTCATATCACTGATGCCACTAGTAGATATAGTATGAGAAGCCGACTAATGCCTGATGATAAGGGAAGAAGGTTGAAAGGTTTTTTATTTTTAATTTCATCACCTCTTTTGAAGTGTAATGGTGGCAACTTGAAAACACACAAATCTGAACTTGACACCAACTCAATCAGATGGTTTATTATTCTAAGATAAATAGATCCATGCAGCCACCGGCAAGCTCCCAACACAGCATCTAAAGCTCATACAAAGAGTAACACTAACAACACAGGCTCAGTGTTGGCAACCATTTGTACACAACAGATCAAAAACGTTTTTAACTTTGTTTTTATGGACACCATCGTTGAACACATCATTCAAGAAATGAGATGTAGAAATGAATTGTAGATGTTGCTAGTGGACAGTAAATGATAGAATGAACCTTTCTTACCTTGCGTTTTGAACCCAAATGGAGGTAAGTAATTGCTGACTTTTCCCAGACGTTTGAAGTTTCGATCAAGAAACATTGGTGCTGGTTTCATGAACCTGCAATGAGACACAGGAAAGAATGGAAGGGGGAAGACAGAAGAGACATTTTTCATTAGCGGAGCACAAAGAAGAAATGCACCATGTTGTAATAATGAGTTTTCTCCTGTAACCAATTAATTAATTTTGTTGTGCATTCTCCACCCACACCTTTTCTTTTTCTTTTTCTCTATAAAGAGGCCCTCTGGCTTCTCATAATCCCTGCTCCAACTGGGACAGTAGTGTTAATGACCTGGGAAACATTTAATCTACAAAAAGAAATTCACTTGTTCATTAACACAACAGCCTCCCAAAACAAGCAAAGCCTGCACACACATTAGCAAGGTAACTAAAGACTAAGTAATAAAAACTGAAGAGGCAGAAAGCAGCTGCAGTACATAACCCATCAACATAACCTCTCCACCCAGGCCTAAATCACAGCTGACACGTGGTTTTGATAAATCTGCTGAGACAACATACTCGTGCCAGAATGCTTTTCTTCGAATGATCTGGGCCAGGACTGTTTCTATAAACCAAATTATAGTAAGTGGAGGAAGTTGTGAGAGAAAAAAGTGAAACAAGTGACCGAAAATTCACACAGGTGTGAGGGTAAATGTGAAATACCTGTGTTGGCCTTATGACAGAGAACAGACAAGTTAAACTAATCCAGCAAGAAAGAAAGCCATCCTGCCCCATTAAAAAACAAATGTGAGATTGATATTCAAAAACACGTCTGTGACCAGTGTTTTCAATGCCCCATGAACTGCTACTTCCAGCATCGCCTCTTCCTTATCCTGTGTCTCTGTATAAGTGTGTGTGTCCCTTTGATTAACTGCAGCTCTAAAATCAAAAGAAGCCATTTCCTCTAAGCCATGCCTGCGACCTGAGTGTGGCTTCAGGATGGATGTGTGTTTTTATGACCTACTGTCAAGCTGGGCGGACACAAGAGGAGAGGGAGAGACTTTAGCATGCATGGAGCTCCATGCATTTCCATGTCAGACTGAAATGATCAATCAGGACACAAACACACACAGAAAAGACAATGCAAGGCGCCTTGGGGAGATCTATTGAGTTGGTGTATATTATTTTGTTTATGACAGGAGACAGTTACAGAGATCATTACCGGAGACCAGACCACCAGCAACAGAACAATTGGTTCTTCTCACCAACTGTAAACCACGGACCCATAGAGCTGGCAGACGACACTAACAAAAGCAAAGGCATTTTAAACTGGAATCAGGAGAGGACACACAAGCACCATCACACTCCTGTGCTTCTCAGCATGAATCTTGGATAGCTTGTTACCATAACACTGCCATGGGTTCACAAGAAATATGTAGAGCTCTGAGGCACAATGACCAAACATGGCCAACATTATTGGGAGGCCTTCCGGTTGGCTTAAACCTCATCCAAGCACCCTAATCGGTCTTTGATACCCTCATTATCTGCCAGTTTTAAAGCATGAAGGCAGAGAGAGAGAGGGAGACTCAAGAGGAGAGGCAGTTATGTATGACTCTCTCTTCTACTCACATCACCTGACAGTGGCACACACTCAGAGACTTCTGTCCTGCCAAAACAAATGGAGATTCATTAAACCCAAGACTTCTGAGGCCTTAAGGGGCTATAAATAACACAGGACCATTGCAAGTCACTGAGCCCTGACCGACAGTCCGTCACTGACATCCTGACAAAGCAGAGAGACAGGGGGCTGCTTGTTGTTAAATAAAAACTGAGGGCACCCAAAACAGCCAATGCGCAAGGACGCATTGTACTCATTTCCTTTGCTAGATCCATCTCTCAAAGGAAATATTTTCATAACCGTGCCGCTTCAAGTTCACTGCCAACACTTGATTTAGGACTCCAATACAAACAGTTTTGGGTAAAGCGGAGTGGAGGGGGGGTGTGGAAAATAAATTGAATTTTGCAGGGCAGGGGCTTCAGAGAAGACAAACATGGAGGAAGCAGGAGATGATTAGAGAGGGAGAGCCACAGGACCTCACTGCTAGAGGTTAAGTAGGTTTTCTCTAACAGCTGAACTATAGGCCAAAATGCTAACAAGGAAACTTTTAAACTGATTTGTTTTTGCCTGGTAAAGACTGAGATGAAGAAAGTTGTTGTTGTTAACCAGTAAACAAACAAGATGTTAATTGGTGAACTCTTTGTGTATTGTGTAGGTTCAACCATACACTCACGCAAACCAACACACTTGTACACACAAACTTCCACCAAGTGCAGCATTAATTGGGCTCATTGACCTGTGTGTGACTGGGCTGAAGGTGGTAGTAATCAGTGGGCTCCCCGTTGGGGTTCTGTGTTGTACAGAACTTTGATCCGACACGTGCGGCTGATTAGAGGAAGTCATTACGAGGGAGGACATTGTTAACACGTAGCCTCTCAGATAGGTAGAGGACAGCTCCACAAAACGGCTGCGTCTGTCTTGTTAAACAGCACTGCAATTTACAGCTGACAGTGCAGCTCAGTCGATTAGAGTTGGTTGGTCAGTTCATTCAACAGATACTGTATAAATTATGCAATATGCCTTGGATAGACTCACTTAAACACTTTGAGAGCATCTTATTTTTATTATTATGGGCATAAAATGTAAAAAGGGTGAATATATTAAAAAATAAAGTTAAAAAGTTTTGTAACGTATTGGAATTTGTTGCTGAACTAGTTCACTGTTTTTTTTTTTTCTCTCAACTTTGAATGTAATTTTGCATCTTCAGGCAAAAGACAAATTGGCTTAAGTACTTATGTTTGGAAATGGGCTGGCATGTCAAGTACAGCACTGAAGTGCCACTAGCAATGCTGTAAATATCTCCTCTATTAGCTTAGCTCCAAGAATGCCGATGGGACAATGCCCTATAGATTGAGCTGAGATGAGCGGCAAACAGAGGCAAAGAGAAAAATCAAAAGAGCCAATGACATCAGAGAGGGCCGTGGAGGATTGTGTGGACTGTGTGGGCTGGGTACCAGGAAGCTCGTGATGAGTCAGGACAGGAAGTTGGTTGGTGCTGTTCACAGAGAAAGCCTCTAAGGCTCTAGAATACGATATGAGAAAGATGGGAGACCTTGTACTCGGGTGACAAAGGTTCTTTTGTGTAACAGGGGGATCACAAGGACACAGTCGGGGTTTTGTGGTGGGGGAGAAGATGATAGAAACATGATTGAAACTAGGGAAGATTGGGCAGGAATGTGGGGGCTTCTCTGTTTCTGACTCAAAACCCTTAAGGCCAAGCTAGCTTGAAGAGTGACATCATGCATCTTGGTATGCTCGAGTAACAGTTTTAGCTTTTCTCCTGCTGACGTCCAATTAAAATGATTTGTTTGTGAAGCTCCCCGATTGTGGCTGTGAAGTTCTTGGAGCAAGCAGAGAGAGTTTGTCTGCATCCAGTGCATCCACAACCCACTGTCGTGTGCAAAAGAAAGAGCAATCATTCTCACTTAGGATATATGGCGGTCATCTTTGCTGCTGCATATCCTGGCTTGCACACTCCTTCGCTGAGGTTTCCATACTTGTATGCCAACTCTGGTGACCTGTAAATTAAAAGAACAGAGAGAGCGATTAATCAGACACATCATGACGACAGATTATCAATCACACCTGTACATTTCTAAGCCTCAAAAACTGAGCTTGTCAAACAATCTGCTTGGGAGATAGGGGAAAAACGGGGGTTTCTAAGGAAGTTGGAGAACTCAGCAACAGCTCAGCATATCACCTTGTGTGTGGCAAGACAAAGCAGAGGGGCCTTGTTCAAATAATCACACTGGCAGTGCTAGAACTAGAAACCTCCCGATTACTAGCATGACCATTAATAACCTGATGTATGCCATGAATCTAGTTCAAATAAACATGGAGATGGGAGAGAGGCCCAGGTCTTAACACTATATGAGGCCTGAAAATCCAAGTTGGCAGGAGAAGGGGCTCGCCAGCAGCCTGCTTATGCAGAATTTGAAGCTCTTCTATGCTAATATAATAGATTTCAGTAAGCTAGAATGCTGCTCACTTGCAGTTTGGCCTTGATTGACCTGAAGCTGGTGATTTAGTGAGAATAAAATCTAGGGGGCACTTTTCCATCACTCAGACCACCAGCCAGAATAAATGACCCAAGTCAAAAAACTAATTACTAGCTTTAAGATGAATTGCACTTTCATATGCTTGTGCTCTAATGTAGTAATTAATGACACTGTAGACATAATGCAAGGAGCTGTATTAGATAAACTGAACGTATTGAGAACCACCTAAAAGTGCATGCTGACATGGTGCTTACAGTGTGTGTGCAGAGTGTGGACAGACATGCCCTGCGAGAGCCAGGGTGGTGATGGCAGCATATGATTATTGCCTGCATGGTAATGGGAGGGCCAGAGAAAGGGCCTTATCGTGGCAGTTTAGAGCAAGAGTGTCAAACCAATTCAGGGAATTATACACATATCAACAGACACGCTGACACAATGACAGCTGCATAATGACTCAGTGTAGCATGTTCTCACCCTGACAAACCACAGCCGCTCTGGAATAAACGGGAAAACACCAACTACATCTCAATTCACACAAATCTCCTAATGTATTACTCAGACCGCCAATTGCATCTGCACATTTGTCACCAGGTTTTGGTTAGGTCTCCAATGAGATTCTATGTGTTTATTTTTAAAAAAAAGCGAGATTAATTGGTTGAAGGTTTACATTTTCATGTTTCGTGTTTCCCCATTGATCAAGCAGAACCTGTATGAATAAGTACCCAGTGGAACAAGCTGTAAAACATATCTAAACTGATGGAGTCAAAGTCTAACTGGGAATTCAGCTGTTCTAAATAGAACACGTCAGCAATATCCCATATAGTACATGATGGAGAATTGTAAAACATTTTAAGATTAAATGACAGTAATGTTTACTAGATGTACTCACAGTTTTGTGTCCAGCTGCAGCAGAAAGCCCTGCTTATCATACACTGGAGACGAAAGAAAAAAACAGAGATGGAAATGGTCCATTACCACACAGGTCCCAAAGCACAGTGATAGAAAGTGTGGCACCTTTGGGGTTGAAACTTTATATAGTTGGATCATTAGCTCTGGTCATCCAATCTACATAATTTCAACTAGCAGCTCATTAGCTGTAGTTGGGAACAACCTGTGGATCTTTCACAGGGAAAATAATATGGCAAATGTAAAAGAAAGTAAGCATTAGAATTAAGGATTTGTGACAAACAAGCAAGGTTAGGGTGAAGCCAGCCAAAACAATCTGTTGAGTTTAAAATAAAGTTAGAAAAGAAGTTAGAGATCACCTATGGACAACCATAGAGGCAGCCAATAGGTGCCTGGTGAAGCATTGAGGCAGAAGCACAGAAAACTAGGAGATGGAGAAATGAGGATTTTATTCTTAATTATGTCATTTGAGTATTTACTGCAGTCTTATATTTTATCATTATTCTTGCAGGGTCTATAAAACACTTAACATATTAATTTCTGTCTGTAAAATGCTGTAATAGTGATCTAGCATGACATAGCATTAGTTGAAAGTAGGAAGAGCGTGGTATTACTCCTGTGGTTGCGGATCTTGTCTTCACAGAGAAGCTGGAGGAGAAAGATAAAGAAAAGGGACAATGGGAATGCGTGACGGCTGATTAGGGAAGGATCCAAGCACTGCCCTGGTGGATGAGGGACTTTGCCATAGCAGCCAAGATGAGCGAGTGTATGTGTGTGCATTATGTTTCTGTTGAGAAGCATAAAGCAGCCAGAGGGCCAAGTCGAGGCTTGGGAGAAATTAAAGCAGCGGGATCCTACCAGTAAGACAGATGTTTATATGTGGAACCTTACTGTATTATGCACCAAAGCTCCTGCAGGCTGCTTTACTTGCCTACCATTTGTTACTGAGCCAAGACAACAGAGGGCAGTGTTGTATCACACTGCAGCCTCATGTGGAGGATGATGGCTGGACAGATGTTTAATTCCTAATTAGTTGTCATCGTTAGCAAATTCAGTTACTGTAACAACTTGAATTTACTCAGTAAATGTCTATAGCTTTCCCTGTTAGTAACAAATCTGGTTGACTATTTTTTGGATATATTGCTAGCTTGCCAGCCCAAATATGAAATCTGTCATTGTATTTTAAATGGTGGACGCAAAACCAGGATGGGTAGAGGTTCAGCTGGTGGGGCTGCAGATGTACCTGAGCCTACTATTCGTCCCACGGTGATGTCCGTTTCCAACTCTGAAACACAAAATGGTCAGTTAGCGCCATTTGAGGTCAGTCTGTTATGGCAGCACTGGCTTTGAAAATAAAGCCAACTGCAAATGTCAGACATTACAGAGCAAGAAGAGGACGAGGAAGAGGGAGAGAGGTTAATAGCTTCAATCCCAGTGGGCTGAATTATAGTCTCAATCTTTATTTAAAGATGGAAAGTCCAATGAAGTGGAAAATTAAGTGCAGAAAGCCCCCATTGTGTTTTTGTGGTTATTATGGCAGTGGTATATTGAAAGTTACCCACAAGGACGGAATGAGCACACACAATTTTGGTAATTACAAAAAAATGATGACAGGTAGATGAAAGTTGTAACAATGTTCATTGTGTTCATTGAGTTAGCATATTAAAAAAAAAACAACCTCAAAAGCCCAGTTTAAATTCACCCGCTTCACAATAGTTTGACAGTCACCCAGTATAAATGGGCAGAGTGTCAGTGCCTCTACCTGTAATGCTTTTCCCTTCAGCCCCCTTAGTCAGGACTACAGTTGTCTCTTCTGCATCACCCTCTGAAAACAAAAGGGGGTTAAGACACTGAAAAAAGATCATCACTGTAGCTGTGGAAGCAACTATTAACCATACAACTATTAACCAAGACCAAAGCACTCAGAATATAGAAAAAGTATGTTTTCAACATCAGCTTCAGCAAAACACAGACCGTGACTATGCACAGAAACAAAAACACACAAATGGCAGACATAGACAGAAAGAAACAAAAAATCCAAAGATTTAATGCTGATCCTCCAATGTGTAGTTACCATCCCCGTGCCATTCACAGAGTACAGTAACAATACAGCATAAATGTTAAAGATCCCCTCAAGACATGTATTAAGACATATATACAAATAGTCTGCTTGGAACAATAATGTGTGTCCGATGTCATCTATTCCTTCTACCTCTTTAAAAGTCCCAGAATCTGTAAATGTGCAATTTTGTTTTTACTTCACTGTAAAGTCCATTCTTTCTCATTTTCAATGATCCCAGAGAAACTTTCCACTCACAGCAGATGAATGTGAAAACATCCCTCTAGTGTCAAATTCAGATTTACAGAACAATGTGAAAGATTCTCACTTTTTCTGGAAGTGTGTTAACAGCTGTGACAGTCCCACAGTAAATCACTGACTTACTCTGAACGTGCTTAATTTCAAGTTCACATTATGCCAAGATTTTGGAAACTGAAGCAAATTTACATTCTACTTGCCCTTTCAGATCAATCATTATAATTTGTTTGACCAAATAGATAAAAACAGAGGACCTTTACGTAGAATGTTAGTTTCAAACAAAAACCCCACGCAGGTTTTAGAGAAATAAAAAACGCAACATTTCTCTCTCGCTTCTATCAAAACAATCAGAGGACAGCTGCCATGTCATTTCATCCAAATGCCATTGATTATGTACGACATAACTTCAAAGCCCTCTTCAAAACAGAACAAGAACAGCAAGTGCTCCATGTGACTGCATCAAGTTCTGTGAATGTAAATTGTTGCACAAAAAGCACAACCTCTCCATGTGAGGCTTCTGGCAGATCAAATCCCCCAGTTAACAAAACTCAAACTCTGTTCCAGCTGAAACTGCATAGGTGTATGACCACTTCAGCTCTGAGACAAGAGAAGGCAATCCCTGACGTTGAAAACCAAGCCGGGAAATATTAAGACCAAGCTCCCTGAGCAACTGCTGACCTTGTTGCTTATATAGAGGACTGAAAATGACAGGGGAAAGGGAATCCCACTTTGAAACATAATGTATTTTAATATATTTATGAGCAAATTGTAAAAACATTCTTTGAAATATATTTTTGAAAGACATACACAGAGCCCCCCCCTTTTTTTTCCTCTGCAATAGAGATCTATTTCAGTGTTTTATTTTAGAAAAGTGGTTTAGGGGCAGAAATCCACAGAGTTGAAAGTTGTGGCTTGTTGGTTACTGCAGTGTTAGCAGATTGGCTGGTGGAACGCATTCATTTCTCACCGTGCAGGTGTTAATTTTAAGTACGATTTAAGACCCTGAGGTGGTGTTCATGTTACTATCAGCAAAGCCAACCATTATAAGTGACTATGCTGTTGGGAGGCATTCAAAAGAAAGTTGGCTGCAACTGCATAAGTTGAAGATGACTGTTGATGTGTTGATCAATCTATTTAGAACAGCTGTGTTATGGGAGGGGACCTAAAAAATTCAAGACAGTGTTGATAGAGCAATGTTGGATCCATGTGTAAAAGGGCTCAGATACAATGCATGTTAGGCCATGTCCACATTGTGGAGGATAAATTTGAAGAAAAAAAAGTCTCACAACATGAATACAAATCAATGTCAACAGCTTTATTGTAACTAGCTATACTGACACTAGCAAGCTGGGGGAAATATAAAGTTTGCTTTCTTACTGTGCTGGTATTACTTTATTTATTCTTATTTCATTGGTTTTAACTCTCAGTTTTAAATGATTATTGTTACTGGTCTATTCTAATTTTATGTAAGTAACTAAGTAAAACTTTATTTATACAGCACCTTTTCGACAGAGATCCAAAGTGCTTTCAAAACAACAAATAAATAAAACATAACAACACACAAAAACACAAACAGAGAGGATTTAAAAACAAACAAAGGAAGATAAAACAAAAGGGAGGGATAAATTAAAAGAGACACGACAGATGAGAAAACAAACAAGGAGATCTATAAAAAGGCTTGCCTGTAGAGGCGGGTTTTGAGCAGCCGCTTAAAACAGTCCACAGATTCAGTGAATCTAAGTGATTGGGGAAGACTATTACACAATGTTGGGGCTAAAACAGCAAAGGCACGGTCACCTTTAGATGTACAGGTAGCGCGTGGAACGGATAAAAGGCCGAGATTTGAGGAGCGGAGTGGCTGAGGAGTGGAATGAGGAACAAGGAAATCTTATATGGAATTGGGCTAAGGTCATGAAGTGCCTTATATGTAATCAGTAAGATCTTAGCGGCTGAACAAATGACCCAGAGGAAGCATGTACAGGGAGAACAGAAATGGACCAAAAACTGGACCAAGAACTGGACCAAGAACCGACCCCTGAGGGACACCACACAGCAGGGGAGCGGAAGAGGACACATGATTATTAATGCAGACATTAAAGACTCTATTAGTCAAGTAGGAATTAAACCAATTTAAGGCTGTACCAGAAATGCCAACCCAGTTCTGTAATCTATCCAGTAAAATGGCATGATCGATGGTATCAACGGCTGCAGTCAGATCAAGAAGAATAAGGATGGAGCTTTCACCTTTGTCAGCATGCATAAGAATGTCATTAGACACTCTCAGTAATGCTGTCTCTGTGCTATGTTTTTGGCGAAAACCAGATTGGAATTTGTCAAAGATTCTATGACCTTCTACCAGCTTCAGGAGCTGGTCCGCAACAGACAGTAAAATAGGACAACTGAATGTTGAATGGGGAAGAACAGTTAGAGGAAAATGAGACCATATACCATCGATCTTGTCAATGAAAAAAGACAGGAATTTTTCACAGCCAGTCGGAGAGGAGGCCTGAATAGCAGGAGGAGATGGAGTTACAAGCTGGTTGATAGTAGTAAACAAAATCCTTGGGTTAGGTTTATTGCTAACAATCAAATCAGAAAACTAGGCAGCTCGCGCATCTTTAATAGTCGAGTTCAAGTTAAACAGTAGTTCCTTCATGTAGAGGCGGTGTACTTCAAGTTTGTGCTTTTTCCAATTTTGCTTGGCCTTCCTATATTCCCTTCTTTGTTGACTAATATTGTTGTTGATCCAGGGAGTTTTATTAATAACTGGGACAGCCCTGGATGCATATGGAGCAGAAAAATCAAGGGCTGATGTACACAAATTATTAAACCAGCTAATTTGATCATTATATTGAGAAAGTGAGGGGGAGAATTAGCCAGACCAGAAAAATGGCTACAAAATGTGGCTGCTGACTGATTATTAAAGATGCGAGAGTGGATTATACGTTTCTGGGATGATGAAGCAGTTATAAAATGTGTATCAAAAGTAATACATTTGTGGTCAGAGACAAAATCATGCATATTCAGAAAACTAAGAGACAGATCCAGAGTAAAAACTAAGTCAAGGGTGTGCCCACGGTTATGTGTAAGGCCAGAGACGTGCTGCACAAGATTAAAAGATTTACCAATGTTTAAAAAGTCTGTGGCAAATGGATTGGAGTTTTATCAATATGAATGTTAAAGTCAACAGCTATAATGGCCTTATTAAATTTGAGCATGAGAGAGGACAGTAGGTCAGAGAATTCAGTGAGGAAACCACTGCTGAGTTGGAATTGGGGGGAGGGTAAATGATTATACAGCAGATGGGGTCTTCACGCACAATTTTAAAAGTTAAGATTTCAAAACTGTTAAAAGAGCCAAGGATGAGTGGAATACAAGTAAAATGTTTTTTAAAGACAACTGCAATACCCCCACCCTGGCCTGTTTGTCTTGGTGAATTTAGAAATGTGTAAGTGGGTGGGCAGAGCTCCTCTAGTGGGGAGCACTCCCCAGGTTTTAGCCAGGTTTCAGTAAGAAACAGAAAATCAAGGTTATGGTATGTAATTAGATCATTGAGAGTGAAGGATTTATTAGCCATAGACTGTGCATTCAGAAGGGCACAGGTAACTGGGATAAGGGGTTTAGCTGGAGTGGAAATACCATAGTAAACCGTAACCAAATTATGAGATCTAACAGTAGAAGAGACAGAGTGCATAGAGTAGTGGGTTTTTAATCTAGGCATAATTCTGACAGGAATACTATAAGAGCCTGAGGGGGTACAGTTAAATGGACTCATTGCAGGTCAGGATATACAGGCTTTACAGTGGATAAGAAGCATGACCCTTTCTGTGAAGGATGGAGGCCATCCGGCTTAAAAAATTGAGGCCGAAATAAAAAGGTGGCGAAATTGTCAACAAATGGAATATCCATGTATGTAGTTTTAGTTTATTTTTTGTAATGGTTTTAATTTGCATGTCATATATATATATATATATATATATATATATATATGTATATGTCTAATGTGTTTCCGTGGTGGCTCATGCTCTGTGCTTCAAACCTGGAACGAAATTGCTATATAAATAAAGTTTTGCTTCATTAACAATACGAGTACCCGATCATGTCTGTGGTGGAACACATCAACGCATTACTTGTAGGTTCATTGGAGTTCAATGAGACAGAAAACTGAAAACCAACCAGCCCTTGTGAGTCAGCCATAATAATTCTTGAGTACAGCTGACTACATTAGGAGGAAGAAAAGAAAAAGACTATTGTTGAAAGAACACAGGAAAAGTGGACTGGGGTGCCTCATCACTCCAGTCTTACAGGAGTCAAACATCCAGTCCAGCGGTCACGTGGACCTACTCTGAAATTGACACCCCAAGGTAGTCAGAGCCAGAGTCATGAGATAGCGTAAAACAAGTGGCCACAGGAAATGTTGCCTCTGGCCAATGATGAATGCAATCCAAATGAAGAACAGAATTCAGTACAGATCTGATCAATGACTACAAGCATTATTTCTGAAACTATTCTGGATAAACATAAATAACAGGGCCTAAGAAAGATGAACAGCACCGAGCACAAACCTTCTGAATGTCGTGGCCACCTGGTGGATCAGCAGGTGGTTGAATCCAGCACAACACATACTTTTACAAGAAGCCAGCTTGTCAGGGCACAGGCTTGTTGGAAATGCAACTAGGCTCAGACCCCTATTCTGTATTAATAGGGATCACAGCTTTAATTTTTTCCCACCAATTTCCAATGGTAAGATATTTAACCTTGATTTTATATCCCAATTCACCTCTCTTTTTTGCTGCAAGAAGTCAGACATGAAGTCATAAAGAGCCCCATTAACAAGCATACACTAGGGCGATCAAGCATTGAATGCATAGAATGCATGGTAGAAAAAAACAACAACAAAGAGGTACCGAATAACTACAGAGCTCTTAACGATGCATCAAATGAGCGGGGCATAAGCCTCTGTATGTTCCATTTGTCCCTGGAGCAGTGACTAAATCTCTAACACTATAAGTCAAGAATGAGGAGGAGAGATTAGGCAGATTTTATCCTCTAGCATAGCTTAGCTGCCCAGGCCAGAGGGCAGGAGAGGCCATCCACATGCTCATCCTTACCCTCTGACCATCGTTAAGCCAAACATCTGGGACCAGAGTAATGCAGAAAGCCAATATTTCTCACTGCAATTAAAGCTCCCCTCCTTTTACTTTGCACTACTTAACACAGCTTGAGAAATCTCTGTGATATGGACCTCAACAAAGAAAGAGAGGATGTTTTTTGCAACACTGAAGAGAATAATGTTTGGTTTAGCACACCCAGCTATGTGGGAGGATGAAAAAAGTCACCTATATAAACTATATAATTTATATTATTCATTGTAGACTGAGCCTGTTAGATGTCCGTGGGACCAGGAACAGGCAGTGGTGAGTTGAAACAATGAAGTTGTGGAACTTATACAACACTTGACAGGTTTCTTAATTAAAGACGTAGGGATTTCACAATGTCAGTCCTGCCTTCAACATGCCGTCTTGGATCAACATATTGCTGACCAGAATTCTTCAGCGTCGCGCATGAATTTTTGCATTACACAGGCAGCAGTTGGGAAAAGAGCAAACTTGACAGGAATAGACACCTCTGTCTGCCTAAGACTAATCCAAACCAATAAAAAACTCCAGTTCCATAGCAAAACTTTACATTACAGCCAGTGTGAAGACATCAAGGACACAATTTTCCCCATGTCTGTAGCTAGGCTCACAATCTGGTTCAAAACACTGACATTTGTGTTTTCTGTACCAAAAGCTGCTCCATGAGAATGTTTTCCAAGAAAATATACTCTGTAGGGGGCACAGGCAAGAAAGTTTCAACATTGTTAAAGAGAAATCTTCTAGCCCCCTCTACTGGTTTTTGACAGCTGTTTCAGCACACCCACACCATGTGACATCATTTACCTCCATCCTTCATCATCAACTTGCAGTCTGACCACATACTTTATCTAAAGAAATATTTCTTAGAGAACCAAATAGTAACAACAGTATACAAACATCCAAGTGTGTCGTCATTACATTTCTAAATGTGAACTCCAAAGCTCAGGATACCCAGCATTAAAAAGGAAATCACACTGAGTCATAACCAACACCCAAATACGTCAGGGGTATTTTTAAGTGGGAAGTAGAAGATGTGCCTTCATTGCGAAACTGCACTGTTAGGGTTTCATCATGTGTGGAAATTTCAAAATACCATTTCCTCCTGTCTAAGGGTGCTCAGATTGTAATCGGTCGGTATTCACTTCAATTTGTTTGGCCATCTCTATAAACCACAATCAGAGGCTGAAGCATTATTTTTTCCCACAGAAAAGTTATTCAGTCTTTGACACGCATAAACTTACATGGGCACGCCGCCGGTATATTAACAGCCAGGGACTCATTTTAGAGAAACAGAGAGAGAGATGGATGTTTAACAAAGATGGAGCGGGTAAATCAACAGTTTCATTTTTGATAGGCAGCCATTAATGAGCCTCTTCGTTGAGACACGGCTCACCTGCTGCTGTGAAAACATTCATAACGTGAGTTGTGTTTCTCGGGCGACTTTGTAAAACTTACTGCTGACCAACACAGTAACAGAGTAGACACATAAAGCCTGCATATGGAGAGAGACAGAGGTGTGTGCGTGTGTGCATGCACTATAAACATAAGGCATTAAATACACCCAGTGGTCATATCAGCCAATACTTCCACTGTTTTTCTACACTTGTGTTGTGGAAGAGATCTGCAAATGCGTGCGGCTAAACGGATTGAGATTAGGTTACACAATTCTCCACTTCTATTAGTAAATAGTATTGCTACAATAATGGCCCCATAGCACATAGAAGCAGACAGCAAAACAGAGACAGGCGTAAAACAGATTTTCTCAATAAAAACAGGTAAAAATATGTTACAAACTATGGGTTATGACAAATGAATGATCAGGTGATGAATAAGTTAGTCAGCCTGGAGATGTCACTTACGAGGCTTCTGGCCCCATACGTGTAGATGTAGCTTCCCGGAGGAGTAGTAAATAAAGCCCAGGACCAGCATGGGGCACAGGACGAACATCAGCTTGTGTGTGGGCTTCATGGTCTTCAGTCATTCACATGGCACCATCCAGGTCATCACCTGAAGAGTAATAGAGAAATGTATCCGTCAGCGACAAGGAAATAAAATGAACAAAAACAATTGAGGCAAACACATCACAAGATTAAAGATAAACAGATACTCAGGGAGGAAGAGGAAAAAGAGGGTGGAGTCAAAACGAAGTATAACAAAGGGTGCCTAAGAGTGGTATGTAAACAGGAAAAAAATACAATGTAGGTAGACACTGGGACACATGGGATGGTAGTAGTTTTATAACGTTTTTGTTCCGACTCCAGCAAGATTGAATCTGACATCTCTTCCCTTGGCTACATACACAGTCTTTTCTCCTTGAGGACTATTCAATCATGTCTGAAGGATAGTCTGCAAAGGTCATAAAAATTACAAGTAAACTTTGGGGGGGAACCTTGAGAAACTTGTTCCAGTATGAGAAGTAGTAAGAAGAATGGGATGTCACACACTTTTCACAGGAAATAACACCCTGTAGATGACATGACAGTTTTTTTTAAAAGTCATTGTTGTTAACAGTGATACAAAACTGTTATTGCTCTATTAAGTCAATCTCACCTCTCAGTAAACCTCAATGGACCTGCTTCAGCCACACAAGATCTAGATGTGGACTGTCTAAATTATACATATATTAACCCAGCAACAGTGAATCATGGGTACATGTTGCCTGACAGCAGACGAGAAATCCCATTAGTCATCTCTGTCTCTCTGTGGCCTGGTGTCTGTTTTAAACAAACTCTGCTAATTATATAGAGTCATGAAACATCTCATGGACTGTAACCTTACTGTAACGCAGCACCATGCGATTGCTTTCAACCACAGACATATTTTTTCGAAGCATAATCTACAGCTTTCATTGAACACAGGCCCTACGGACCACGACATGCTGTGCAGAATTTCTCAAACGTGGTATGACATCAAAAATATATCAAACTCCATCTGGGCCATTTCTGTTTCATCCTGTGAACTGCTAGAGGCCAGTGCAAATGAGGGACTATAAAGCACTGGGAGATGTCTGAGCAGAGTTGAGCTCAGATATGATTGCAACACCTCCACAAAACCACGCATTTCAAAATAGCAATTCATAACTCACATGGGGCAAGAAATGCAGGTTAAAAATGTTTAAATTGTTAATACTTAAAAGTCACCTGACAAACTAGGCTTGGGGTGGAAAGACATCTGTGGAATACATTCAACCGCATTTACTGAATTGGTCAATGGATGTAAATGTGCCCAAGCAAGCAGCAACACCACTGCAACTCTTGGGAGTCCAGTGAAAGCATAGGGTTTATCTCCCCCTACATATATTGCTTTCTAGATGTACTGCAACGGAACATTGTCCAACTCTATCAAACGAAATGCCATCAGGCTATATTAGTGTCATGGAAACACTAAATTAGGTAATTCAGAAACATAGAAATGCTTAACCACGACGACCAGTAGCCCCCCTGAGTAGTGTTATTACTCACCAGATTAATGTGTAAGCGAGTTTCAGTGGCAGCAGTGACTCTGCTCCATATCACAATCATTTATTATGTACCGCTGTAAAAGAGTTTTATTTCAGTCCATGTCGAAGGTTAAGTAAACGTTAGGTCTCTACTTTCTCTTGTCGGCCGTGTAGTTTACCGAGCTGTTAGCTGGCTACGTGACGCGCTTACTGAAAACAAAGTTGAGCTAACTTAGCAAAACAAACATAACGGAACTTTGCGGTCCCATAAGTCAACGCTATAATACCTCAGTGTCCCCAGATACAATGTGCACTGAAACATCACCTGTGGCTTTTATCTTACCTTTAATATGCCCCGTTTACGCTGGGGTTGTACAACTACGCGCATTACTAACGGCTAAAACTAATATAACGTTAATTACAAACGACGGGAAGATAGCGTTGTACAAACGGACAATATGAAGCAGCTAACCGTTAGCTCAGGTTAGCCAGTCGCTATGCTAACAACGCTACGTTGGCATAGTGGGGAACTATGCGTTGATCGCTTCTGCGGGCCTGCGGCGCAACAACACAGCGCTGTTAGGGAAATGTTGTGTCAAGCAATCAGTGTCCCAAACAGTACACGCGTGTAGGATAAATACTGGTGTGTAACAACACCGACTGTCCGCCGAAAAAACAATGCTGAGGTTACCTGACCACCGGTTTGCCTAAATCAACCAGCACCATCACCATCATCGCTGTCGAGTAAAACACGGCGTAGCAACGTCTCACTGCTATTTCCATTAGGGTTGGATAATGTCAGACATTACCTTTTTCTTTTCCTCTGAGTCCTCGGGAAGAAACAGTACCGGCCTTTAGTTTAAATAATGGATTGGTCGGTAAAACGACCATGTTCTCCCTCCTCTCCCGGCCATCGTGATGGAACCCATGGAAGTATCCCGGCTCTGTTAGCACAAGACGACCGATCTTCACTGTGTGTCTCCCCCACTGTCTGCTCTACCTCGCATCAACACGGCTACAATGAAAGAGCACCCCCCTCTTCTTCAATCAACATGTCCATAAGCAGCAGCAGGAACCCACTGGTCTTACAGCGATACAGTTTGTCCGCGACAGTCACATGAGGAGTCTCTGAATTATGATGCTCCCTCCCGTTTTAACAGGGCTAAAATGAAAGCACCTTTTCATCTGGTTCTTCACGTGGTGCTGTCCTCTGCTCGTCAGCTGTTCACATCGCATTGTAGCTGGGTTTGCTTTTGCACCTATAGCAGACCCATCAACCAACCCCCCCCCCAGTCCTCGCTCAGCAGCAATAATAGAGATGCAATAATGTATAGAGCTTTGCTGAACTGCCTGCTGCCCAACACTATTATAATGGCATGTGCTTGGGTCAGCACTATTTTATTGAGTGTACAGGTGGGAAGCACGTTTTCATCCTATAGACATGGTTGGCTGAAATCCAAAGAGAAAAGTCAATTCAATTTTAGATTGAAGCCTATTTTCGTGCACTTCTGTTTGGAGTAATTTGTCTTTAAGTAAACACCTTTCTCCAGACAGTCCTTGTCTTGTCCAAACAGTGGAATCTCAGTTTTTATCTAGATTCATATCAAACAGACCTCTAACAGACCACCACTGTTGCATCAATGTTTTTGGTGGATCTTCACTGGTTTGGAGTGCTTCTCCTGAAACGTTTAGCTCTAATTATTCCTAAGGGGACTATAAATAATCATTACTTATACAAGTGTAAGCCCCTTTGCTCCATGATGATGATAAGCTCCTAAGATATAAGTACCTACCAAACTGTTTGTCACAAGCTGGTTTGTGTGTTGTATCCAAGAAGGTGGTTTCTACTGTGATCATGAAGTCAGAGAACATGTGATCAACTAGAATCACTTCTGAGAATGCCATCAAACTTACACTGGAAGTCATGAAAAAAGGAGAAGAACCAAAAGTAGTCATGTTTTAAAAGGTTAAATACAATTTCCAGCTTAAAGTATGAAAGTGAGATGGGTCCATAAGGTATAAAAGATATAAAAACAACAGCAATGATTATGTTGGGAAAACACCCCACTCACTCCAATAAGAGCACAGTCACACAGTCAATGAGGCCTCATTATTCATAGAAGACCAACCCATCCACGCATCCACATAAACAGGCATATGTATATATACATACTTTCATCTATTAGAAGTAACAGGAACTGTCTGGCTTGTAATAGCACACTATTTGCTCTAGTTTTCAGACACACTCAAGCAACATGAATTTGTCAGAACATATAAACACCTTAATTGTTGTTTGTCATCATGTCTAATTTGCTGTCACTAATGAGACCTTTTATAAAGCATTCTTGTCTCACAGCCCAACCGAGTTAAAGCACAAACATTTGGGTAGTCCTCTGCGCCTTATCACTGCATATTCATAGAGATTCACACACTGATGTTCCCATAAATATGAACAGACTATGTTTATCAAACTTCTAAGAATAGAAGTGTTGATATAAATAATTGAATGAGCTAAGATGCTTTATAAACACTGGCTCTGCAGACCTTGTATCTGGCAGCTCAAGGCAGATTTGTTGTATGGCAGCAGATCTATAGTCCTGTCCCTCACACCTGCTCGGGTTACTCTGGTAATTCAGTTTTCCCCTTGGATCTTGCGTCTTATTTGTACCCTGACATACACAAGGTCTCATATCCTACATAAGCAGTTGTTGGGTTGCGAGCCAAGTTGGGTGAGGTGAGGGGGGGTTCTTCCGTTTTGCCCTGCAAAGAGTGTGGCAGAGTAGCATACTGATCTATAAATATTAGATCAAGCAGGAAATACAATATGCTCACCTACTGTTCTCCATCTGGGGTCAGGAGATTAGCAGGAGCCAGGAGAATAAAATACAGACAAACACAGAGACACACACATACACAAGCCTATTGAAGTGTTCCAGGATCACAGACTTTCTAACAGGATCTGGCGTGGGTTGGCAGCACTTTGTGGCCTTTGGTACTCGGATCATTCATTAACATCATACTTACGAGAGAAAATGATGGATGGCCATGGAAAAACAAGCAAGGAGCTGACATTTTCCACTCTCTAACCATGTCTGGGAAGTACACTGTTATTTGTTTGTCTGCTAGTAAGGATCTGTGTTCCAGAGGGGAAAGCATTTTCGTTTGTTATATACATCCACAGATTGTAGTGCATTCGCTTTCCTGTACCAGTCGAGTTGCTAAGATGAAACCACATCCGCATTACTTTGATGCTTAAGGGATTTCAACATGACTCAGTCATTTTACAAGTGTGGTTTTCCTGCTTTTCCTCTGTCATGCCCCATTCCTCTAATGCTCTAATTATTTTTTGCACTTGCAAGAGTATGAATAACAGAACAGCGTAGTCTTGAGTGACAGGTCTGTCATGATAACAGAAATGCATACTCCAACAAAAATGAAATCCTTCCCTACTAGCAGAGATACCATCAGGTCCTTCACTGGAATTAGCATTGCATTTCTTCTTCGAGTCTAGTCAGACAGTGTCCGCCATGCACAAGCTCCCAATTGAGCCCACTCCAGGAGCTTAAAGCTACAATGGATCAGTGGGTCGTGGAAACAGTGAAATTATGTTTAGGAAAATATAATGGCTTTCATGTACTTGTGTTAATTGTGTAATTTTAGCGCATTTTCTATCCTCCAGGCTTTAAAAATACTGCACAGTTTAGATGTTAGTGATAATACTGGGCTATAACAGTTGTGCAAAAACTCAACATCAGGAAAGAAGCTCACCAGAGTTGTAAACCGCTTGATAAAATCTGCACCTACTGTAAACCCTCTTATCCAAGTAATGAATCCCTCTTTAAAGGAACTTAATCTGGATTCATGTCTTTCACCACTGTTCCAAGCTACAGTGAATTTTGTAACTTAATATGCAAAACAATTCTAATGAGCCGTACCATACACAAGTGTACTTTAGTCCATCTTGATCACTTCATCTCTCCGAAATTAATTCCTTCATAAGTATAGCCAGACTTTACTGTTGCAAAATTAATAATTGATTGTTGTATCATCTGAATCATAGATGAACTATCTGCTCAATAGCGTGGCTTTTACTGTAATGGGCAGCCAGCAGGAAATAAACAAGCGCTGATGGGATACTAATAGATCCTGAGCATACAGGGGCGGCATCTGAACGATACTTTCGCTTCCCACTTTTAGCTATTTACTGATCTGCTGGTAGACTTGCTGTTTCTCCCGGCTTCCGGTCTTGATAAGCTAAGCTAACCGGCTCAGGGGTGTAACCATTGACATTCAGGCAGTGTGGTTGCACTCGGGCCTGTAGACAGAGCAGGCCCTCCAGCAAAGTGTTAGGTGGAAATCAGGCCCTTGTGAGTGATTCAGATTGCCAACATGGAAAGTGTTTAAAGCAGAACTCATAACTCATAAATCATACTTTTTTTGTTGGTATTCTTGTCATATACAGATATGCAATGATTTTTGCATTGGTGATATGTATGTGGATATTGTCTAATTTCTCTAATTGACACAGTAGCTAGGGCCCATCACAATAGCATATACTTTTACCCGCCAAAACTTCCTTACAACACTGAACCAGCTGCTGGCTCCAGCTTCATTAAGCACATATGAGAGTAATAATAAAGGAAGACCTCATGGAATGAACGCAAAATGGGCCATATAGGGGGGGAAAAAGAAAAGATACATGGTATCCATTCTTGCAACATAACAACATGACAGGATGATGACACACCTCCTATTAAATAACAAAACGACTTTAAATGATGTGCAAGGCAGTAGTCACATTTCAAAGAGCACAACCTGGAAGAGATCTCGTTCAAATTCTTTTTCTCTTTTTCACTTCCTCAGTTTGTCTCTTACCTCCCATTCAAACATGCAAACCATATCTGTCTCCCATGCATGACTGCATTCAATGTCCAATTAAAGTAAATACAAAGAAGCAAAGTTTGTGTGTTATTCAGTAATGATTAACAGATAAGATCAATTCAGAAATTAATTTAGGTTGCTGTGCTTTATCCATTGTGGGGAAATTCTACCATTTTGAAAGCAGTTGTTTAACATTCTGGGATAACAGCTCTCTTGTCAAGAGTTAGATGACAATATTAAAAGTCTAGTGTGTAACCTTTAGGAGGATCTGTTGGCAAAAATGGAATTAAATATTCATAGGTATATTTTCATTAGTGTATAATCACCTAAGAATAAGAATCATTGTCTTTTATAACCTTAGAATGAGTCCAAATAAGCATATTTCCCACAATGCCAAACTTTCACCCCCTTGCTTGAAGTGTGTTTATGCATATTGTACAATACTACATATCTGAACATAAAAGATTATTATACATGGCTTTCTTATGGACTGCTTACAGAGTAACTTTCTACCTCCCTGGAGTGCACTGGGGAGCTTATTTTAAGCCCCACCAGGCCAAGGTCAGGATTCATCCTTGGCCCACATAATTCCTGTTTTTGTTTAAAGCCTCTATTTATGCTTGTGCAGATACTGTATCTTAAGGGACAGATTATATGACAAAAACATTTCCATGCAGAAAGAGAAACAGACATAACGTCTACATGCTGGATGCTATAATGTAGATTATTTTAAAATTAGCTCACACTTCTCATTTTGGTCAATACTCTATTGACATGGCATTTAGGTTCCTTCCTTTAACAGAGATATCGTTCTGCTTTTAAATATGACATCCATATATTGTTTGTATTGGTAAGAAAAAATTACGTTTCCTTAAATTCCCCTAACGGTAGAAACAGACCTTACCTTTTCAGCTCTGGCTGTCAAGTCCTCAATCCAGAGTCTTGCTAGACTAGAACAGTACTTCAAAAGGTAAACACAGAAGACATGTCCTTTCACCACTCTTCAAACATTAGTTAACCAATAACAGACAGAATTTAATTGTGAGCACATAATCCTAATAAAGCACAAGCAGCAGAGTACAGTTTTGCATAGGATTTGTTAACTGTAGAGAAGATGGGCCGGAAAATCGATTACACTTTAAAAGATTGGCAAACCTTTTTGACATGTCACAAAAATATTTCATAACGTTTAACAGAAATCCAACATAAAAGGGGACATTTTTTACGACCTTTGTACCAGAGGTTAGCAAGCTATGCAAGCTTGTTTAAATCAGGTTATATTGTGAAAGATATTTTGTGGGGTTTGGATCCTTTGTAGAATTACTGGTGTATTTGTTTA